TCCTTTAACAATACTAACTCAAAATATTCGCAGCATATATAAAAACATAGACAGTCTAAGTATCTTTCTGCAAAGATTAAATTCACAGTGCGATGTCATTGTACTAACAGAATGTTGGCTTTCAAATAAAAATGGGATTATGCCGATATTATCAGGTTACAACTACATTAGCTCTACACTAAATTTTAACCAAAATGATGGAATCGTAATATATACAAAACAATCTCTCCATTTTTCGATCGAAGAGCCAAAAAACCTGGAATTTAATTGTTTTATTATTAAAATAGGTCTGAAATAGCAATCGTGTCATATATAGATCTCCTTCCATCAGAAATTTAGATAAATTTAATAATTCATTAGATAGTATTCTTCAAAATTTGTCATCCTTTTCAACTGTCATCGTAATTGGCGACCTAAATATTAATATAAATTCTGATAACATTGACGCAGGTACTCAAGACTACCTAAACCTTTGTGCATATCATGGCATTTTACCTTCACACACATTTCCAACTCATCAAAGTGGGTCATGTTTGGATCACGTCATGCTAAAAACTAGACTTCCGTGTTTAACACTGTTACTAACTCAACAATCACAGACCATTCCGCAATTTTGCTTACGCTTGAATTAAAGCGGACTCAACATTTTTCGCGTCCGCAGCAAAGATCGAAACTCAATATGACTAATCTGGGACGTGATTTATGCAATATTGACTTTAGTCCAGTTTTTGATTCTGCTGATGCTGACGAATCGATGGATTATGTTATTAAACATGTACAACTATCTATCTTAAATAATACTAACACAATAACCTTAAGTAAGAAAAATTGCACCATAAAACCGTGGATAACGGAGGGACTTGTCAGGTGTATACGACACCGCGATAGACTACATAGTAAAGCCAAACAAAACCCTAATAACTTAATTATCCAGACAACATATAAAAGATATCGTAATTTCTGCAATAACCTCTTAAAACGTATAAAAAATGAATACGACAAATCACAAATAGCTCAATCCGGAAACAACCCCAAACAACTGTGGAAATATATTAAGTCAGTCACATTCATGACGAAGCAAAATAATTGTGACACTGGTTTATTGCAGACGGATCAAACCCCGCTATCATCAGCTAACAACGTAAATAGTTTCTTTGCTAATATTGGTGTGAGGCTAGCGGAAAACATTCAAAGACAGTGTTATAATGACCCCAATACTACGATACCAACTCCTCGGTCATGTATTGGTAGTGGAAAGTCTTTTGTTTTGCTAGAACCGGACGAAAGTGAAGTAGAACGAATTTTATATCTTTAAAAAAGTCCCGTGACAGGGTGGGATAATATCAGCACTAATATACTAAAAACCTTTAGGCACATACTAATACCGCCACTAACTCATATTTTTAAAATTTGCTTTTCTAGTGGTACATTTCCTAAATGCCTCAAGAAAGCAGTAGTAATCCCTATCCATAAATCTGGTCCAAAGGACTTGGTGAATAACTATCGGCCTATTTCTATATTGCCATCAATCTCTAAAGTTCTTGAGAAAATTATAAATAATAGACTAGTCTCGTATCTTGAAAATAACTCCCTTATATCTAACAAGCAATTCGACAGCTGATGCAGTATATACATTAACTGACTTTGTATCAGGAGAGCTTGGACAAAGTAAGCAAGTAATGGGAATTTTCCTTGATTTAGCGAAAGCTTTTGATACGGTATCAATCCCATTGCTACTAGACAAACTGGAGGGATTGGGAATAAGAGGGACACAGTTGGAACTTTTTAGAGACTACTTGCGGGATAGACAGCAATGTGTAAAAATAGGCAACGTCATTAGTTCCGAATTGCCGCTACCGCTATATGGAATTCCACAAGGGAGCGTACTCGGAGGAACCCTATTTCTGGTGTACATAAATGACCTATGTAACCTCAAACTACAGTGTGGCACTATTGTATCATATGCAGATGACACTGCTCTACTGTTTTCAGCAGGTTCTCTTACAGAAGTTCAAAGCTGTGCACAGCAAGGGTTTAATGTCGTAAATAATTGGCTTAAAATAAATCTACTAACAATAAATACTGATAAGACAAAATTTATAAAATTTAATATGCGTAAACCTCTAACACGCAATGAATTTCACTTGTATGCGCATAAACCAGAATGCTCAATCGTGACTAACGCTTGTACCTGTCCGGAAATTGTAATAACAGATAACATTAGGTATTTAGGAGTTATTCTAGATGAAACCCTTTCCTTTAAACAACATATCGCTGCTTTAACATCTAGAGTTCGGAAACTGATATTTGTTTTTAAAAAATTGCGGTTTATTGGTGATCACAAGCTAATTATTCAAATTTATAAAGCCCTGTGTCAATCGATAATCCAATACTGCATTACTTCTTGGGGCGGAAGTGGAAAAACATTGATACTTCCAATCGAACGAGCCCAAAGAGCCATCTTGAAAGTCGCCACGCACAGACCGTACCGCTACCCCACAGGCTTACTGTATGAGTCTAGTAAAGTGCTGACAGTGCGACAATTATTCATACTATTCACTGTACTAAAACAGCATGCTACACTTACATATGACGCTAACCTCACTAACACCAAGAGACGGAAAGATATTGTCTGTACTGCTAGCTATGAATCAAAGTACGTATTTACACATAGATTTTTTGCATTTTTAGGGCCATATCTGTACAATAAAATTAATAAAGAAACTTTAGTTTACGATCTAAATTACACCAGAGCAAAACAGCGCATTTCTCAGTATCTGCTATCATTAAGTTATGATAAAAGCGAGGATTTGTTAATTGTCATTAAATAAATAATATTATATAAGTAGGTATAAATAGATAATAATTATTTTGCTAAATGCACGTATAAAGTTAGTATTTCCTAACCTATGTATGTATAATTGTATACATACATAGGTTTTGTAATATTGGTGACTGTAAAAGGTAATATTGTTAAGGCTTAGTTATATTATCCTAATGTATAATGCACGCGACCACAAAGCCTGTGGTACAGATTTAATTCTATACAGGCATAGTATTGTAACCTACATAGAATAGTTAAATAATAAGCTTAGATTAAGTATATGTGAACAAAATGGAAATAAATATATTTGTTTGTTTGTTGTTTGTTTGTTGTTTGTTGTTTGTATATTATGACTACAGCTGTGAAATTACATACATCGGCAGAAACATAAATAAAACTAGGTTACTAAGTACATATGGTCATCATATGTACTTAGTATCATCACTTCACTCGTGTTATAAAGTATTAAATTTTTTTTTTTTTGCTTGTACAGCAATAAAGTTCCCGTCGGCTAACTGGATACGTTGCGCAATTATTGTGCAAAGGAAGGTGAATCAACACCTAACTCTGACGTACAACAATATGCGGACTATGCACCTTCATAGTCTATTGAGTTGATGAATCTGTACTCCGCTATTTTCCTAGCAGGGCACTCAGCATCACCCGTTTTATGCTTATTTGGCTTGCTATAGCGGGTACAAGTTGCACACTTAGGAGACTCCGTTGTTTTCTTGCACTCAGATAATGCGTGTCCTACTTCTCCACAATGACCACACGATAAAAAGGGCTCTCGACATGTTTTTGCTGCGTGGCCGTATTGCTGGCATTTATAGCATCTGGTAACGAGCGTAAAATCTCTGACAGGGCACGATGTCTAATTGATGTAAAGTCTTTCCTGAGAAATAAGAGCTTTGCGTATCTTGCCAGAGACTTGTATGATATAATTGCAGGCCGGTGCGTCCTTTCTTCCGGATTTATGGCTTAACTTTATATCTTTCAGAAAGGATTCCATTGATAGATATTAAAATAAATGAGTTTATGAAATAGCGACATTCAATATGCTCTAATTTCATCTTTACGCATGGCAACTTTGTAAACGTAAATCGCGGTTGGTTTTTATTAAGGAAACGTTTAGTTGATTGCTTTTTATTATTATTGAATATCAGTTTTTCTAGGGTTTCCCAAGTTCTAAAAATCTATGAAATATGCTAACATAACGTATTTAGGAGGTTCTATAACGACCCAATTTTTTAAGGCAAAACAATAACAAATCTTTTCTAGCGAAGCTGTACGAAATCTGCCGTTCTCCTTTGGTGGGACAATTTTGTCGTAGCTGGTATCATTTTTGCTCCGTATAAACCACAAGCCGCACGCACTCATGCAAGAAATTTTGGAACATCATTTTTGTTGGTATTGTATGGTGACGTTCTACCTAGACATATTATAATCAAGGAGTGTATAGTAATATTCCATATGTATCATAGTAATATTCCATACCGGTGGTGGCGGGCTCGGCCGGCACGCAGTCGGGGCCCAGGCAGGCCGGGCAGTCGCGCTCGTCCGAGCCGTCGGCGCAGTGCTGCACGCGGTCGCAGCGCGCCGTCAGCGCCACGCAGGCGCCGTCGTCGCAGCGGTAGCGCGCGGCGCCGCAGTCGCAGTCCGCCTCGTCCGCGCCGTCGTCGCAGTCGGCGCGGCCGTCGCACAGGCGCGCCGCCGCCACGCAGCGCCCGCCCGCGCCGCACGCCGCGCTGCCCGCGCCGCACGCGCGCGACGCTGCAACATGGCGCGCTCAGCACTGGCCCGCCGCGCACGCCGCGCGCCCGCCGGTACTTACTGCAGTAGTACAGGTCCTCGTCGCTGGCGGTCGGCGCGGCGCTGCAGTGCGGCACGCCGTCGCACACCAGCTCGTCGGGGATGCAGGCGCCCTCGGCGCAGCCCCAGCGGCCCGCGGGGCAGGCGGCGGCGGCGGGCGCGCAGGCGCGGCCGTCGGGCGCCAGCTGGCGGCCGGCGCGCCGCTGCAGACGGCGGCGCCGGCCGCGTCCATGTGACACAGCTCGGCGCAGCCTCCGTTGAGCACGGCGCACGGGTCCGACGAGCCTGCGCAATGCTTCCTGGCTACACTATGTGATGCACTAAACGATACTTGTTCCCTGACATCGCTTCTATAGCACGCATGTCAGTCAATGATGCGAAGGAAGAGAAGGGTTCCTAAAAATTAACGATGATCTTGAGCCTGTTGTAGAATGTAACAATAGTTTAGTTCTGTAAACACGTCTCAAGATTTTCAAGACGTGTAAACGACTCCAGAGGCCTTAGTACGAGTTTGTTTCACGTTCAAAGCAATCGATTGGTTGGTTCATTGGAGCCGGCCAATCAGAGAGCCGAACGCTTACATGTTTCGATTATTTTTAACGTAAAGCGAACACGTACTAAGGTGAGGCGAACACTGATTCGGAGTCATGTTAACCACGACCACTGCGTCAAGGATGATACACTGCGTGCGGTACTGACAGGTCTGGTGCTGCGGCAGCACGGCGAGGATGGCCATGGGGCGCGGCACGTCGCGGCGCAGCGCCGTGGCGCCGCCCGCAAGCTTGTCGGCGCGGAACACGCCGTGCGCCAGCCAGTCCGTCCAGTACAGCCAGGGCCCGGCCACGGCCAGGTCGAACGGGTGCTCCGTGCTGGTGCGCGTCACCACGCGGCGCTGCGAGCCGTCGTACTGCATGCGCTCGATCTTGTCCAGGCGCGCGTCGGCCCAGTACAGCTTCTTGGCGGCGTGGTCCAGCGCCAGCCCGTTGGGCATCAGGATGTGCGTGGCCACCACGGTCTGCAGGCCGCGGCCGCTGGCGTAGGCGCGCTGGATGCTGGGCTGCGACTCGTTCCAGTTGGTCCAGTACAGGCGCCGCTCGCAGGGCTCGTAGTCGAGGCCGCGCGGGCGCGCGCCGGGCCCCAGGCGCAGCACGGTGGCGGGGCGCGGGGCGGGCGCGGCGGGGCGCGCGGCGCGCAGGGCGCCGGCCGTGCTGCTCCAGTACAGCGTGCCGCTGTCGGCCGCGAACACCATGCCCTCCACGGCGCCCACGTCTGCAACACGCGCGCGCTGTTATGCCCTGCGTTCTTGCCGTATTACCAAACGGCCTGTATGTCACAACTACACTGATTTACGTCCATCACAAAATTCTACATCAGCAATTATTTGCTATAAACTAAAATTAAAAATCATTATTTTCCTAAATTCAGTGCAGATTTAGTCTAGACGCAGGTGCTGATATAATTGTGATGTTCACATCTAGTCCGGCGGGTCGACATAGCCTTTTTGTGTGTGTAACTGTGAGTGTAGTCCAGGACGTTAAAGTGTGTATACAATTATAACTTTGTCTAAGTAAGATGCTTTGTATAATGTGTGTGCGCAGCCTTATTACCAGCCTTGTGTTCGTCGCCTAACAAGAATGACGTTTGACACGAAGTGGGACAGTGACAGCTGACAGCAGCCCGCGCTTTTTTCGATAGTATGCAAAACCTCGGGTAGATTTAATAATGTAATATTTTCTAATTGTAATAAAGTTTTATAGAAGAAAAGTTAAAGTGCTTGTTCAACTGATTAATGTAATACAGTGTCGATCTACTGAAATATTGGAAGTAAAAACCTTTAATTATCGATTTTTCTGTTTTAGGTTGGTATTGGTAATGTGTACATGTTTGATCTTAATTAATTTGTGTGTTTCAATTGATGTTAACAATAAACTTTCTGTTTTAGATAAATCAAAATTGTGCGTTATTTGCTCCTGTATTATCCTACATATTACAAATCGACAATTGTCAAGTTTGATTGGATAACAGTACATCATGTCAAGATTACAATTTGAGGTTGAACTGGCAGCAGATGAAGATCCGAAGAATAACATTATAATAATAAAATCAATAAGTGACTGTCATGAAGCAATCGTTGCGGGAGCGTTTCTTTGACCGCCTAAAAAAAGTTCTTAATAGTCTTTTATCAGGCGGCAACAAGGTGCGCGCCTACAACGGTTGGGTCATGCCAATACTCATGTACTCTTTTGGCATACTCAAGTGGACTCAAACGGAACTGGACACCCTGGATAGAAAAGTCCGTTCATTGCTGACTGAACATCGGATGCATCACCCACGATCATCGATAATGAGACTGTACATTCCGCGTAAATGTGGGGGGCGAGGCTTTTTAAATGCAAAAACCCTCCACAATAGTGAAGTGTGCAGTCTCCGGAAGTATTTTTTGAAAATGGACGTGGGGATGCATAGAGATGTTGTCGCTGTGGACAAAGGGCTCACTCAGCTCTCCTTGGCCAACGAGAACTGGAGAGAACCTATAATACTAAGCACTAATGATGGCAGGAATGTGTGGCAAAGTAAGGAGTTACATGGGCCAAATACGGATTTCTTGGCGTCCGTATCCTGGCTACGGTTCAGTAACTTGTTTGGAGAAACGGAAGGTTTTGTCTGTGCAATTATGGACGAAGTTATGTTGACGAACAACTATCGAAAATATATCATAAAGGATGGAACTGTTGACATTTGTCGGGCATGTCATCGTCCCGGGGAATCCATCCGGCATATAATTTCGGGTTGTTCTCACCTAGCTAATGGAGAATACTTGCATAGACATAATCTTGTAGCCAGGATTATTCATCAACAACTTGCTTTGAAATATAAACTTGTAGAATCTGAAGTGCCGTATTATAAGTATCTGCCTGACCCAGTTCTTGAAAATGGAGATGTCACACTGTACTGGGATCGAACTATCATCACAGACAGGACAATTGTTGTGAATGTACAAGATTCAATTTAAATGATGATACAGAAAAGATTAGTGCTTTGAGAATATTTTCGAATGACTCGGAAAGTGATTGGTATGAGTCAATGTTAATTAAGCACAGTCTAAGTTCACAATGGGAAATTTGGAAAGAGAGTTTTTTAAACACATTCGCGGATAAAAGCTGGTCCTCTGTAATGTATGCACTGAGTTTCAGACATATAAATGGGTCTTTGCTAGAATATGCACTAAAGAAGCAAAGATTGCTACTGGAGTATAATAGTGATATAGATACTACAACTCTCACTGACCTAATAGTGGCAGTATTACCAACTTTACCAACTAGTAAACTAGACAGACAAGAGGTGACAAACCCAACTCTATTGTTTAATGCCTTACGGATGCATGAAAATCAGCAAAAACCTGTACTAAAACATTTTACTGAGAAGAAGAGCTCTACTAAATATGAAACAGAATATAAGAAAATCACACCTTGTCAAATATGTTATAAAATGGGAAAGAAAAACAGATTTCACCCTGAACATTCATGCTGGTTCAAAGAAGACAAAAACAGTAAGGACAGTGTTAAACACTGCAAGAACTTGATGTTGGACATTGATCAACTTGAGGATACAAAACAACTAAATATTCCCCCACTCATAGAAGTTGAAGTTATACTGAAGGACACACTGAATTGCACAGGTATTTATGACCCTGGCTCAAATATAACCTTAATAAATTCCAAATTAATAAAAGTAACAAATTCAGAGAAGAATTACTTTGAAAATAAATTTAATACAATTTGTGGTGGGGAAAAAACAACAGGTTTAATAAGATTAAATGGAAAAATACTGAATATTGAAAAGGAAATAAATGCATTTATTTGCAATGATAAAAACTTTACACATGAATTGCTTTTGGGACTGGATACAATAAAGCGGTTTGGGTTGACCCATGATGGGAATTTAAACATCCAACTTCAGGAAAATGCCGGCTCAAGTGCAAGTAAATATATAAACCCCACTGAAGAGGAAAAATATAATAATGATAAAATATAGATGTGAATAAATTTGATATAGACACCACATACTTGGAACATAACCAAAGATTGAAAATTAATGCATTGTTAAATAATTTTAAACACATATTTGCCAAAGATAAATACGATGAAGGCCAAGTGAAAAATTATGAAGCATTTGTAGACCTACAAGTAGAAAAATATTGCTCCAAAAGACCATATAGATGCTCCTTAGATGATAAAGAAGAAATCGAGAAGCAAATTAGGTTATCCTACATATTACATATATAAATAAACTCTTGCGACTCAAACGTGGTTTTTTTTTGTAACTGCGAATCGCTCAGAATACCAGCACATCGAGGGCACCGCCGCCGCCTGCGGCCCGCGACCTCGGCCATACTCACGCTCGAGCAGCACCTCGTGTCCGGAGCCGTTGAAGTGCACGGTGTTGATGGAGCCGCGCTGGATGTCGGAGTAGAAGAGCCGCGACGCGTCGTACTCGTACGCCAGGCTGATAGCGTTCCGCATCAGCTCCCTGCGCGGCATCAGTTCCCAGTGAGTGCCCGCCCGCGGCCAGCGCGCTGCGGCCGCGGGCGGGCACTCACTTGTCTCGGATGGGCTTGTAGGGGGAGTTGAGGTCCTTCTCGTCCAGCAGGTGAATGGTGTCGATCTCAGTGACGCGCGAGTACACGAGGAACGAGTCGTACGCTGCGGACAGAAGCGGGCGGTGTAGGGCGGCGGTCGGGCGGCGGGGCGGGCGGGGCGGTACTCACGCGTACAGTTGCGGCCGTCGGGCGCCAGGCGGCCGTGCGGACAGACGCAGCGCGGCGCGGGCGCGGCCAGACACAGCGCCTCGCAGCGCGCCGCCGCGCATGCGCCGCCCGCCGGCTGCGCCGCGCGCGCCCACACCTGCCGCCACAGACAGGTACAACTACTACGACATACCTCGACTCGAAAGTGGCTGCAGCATCATACTAATTTAAAAGCACTACCTATAATTAATATCTCAAATTCACTGCAATGTTTCCACAAAATATTTTTTGAATATCCCATATTAATGGAAGATTACACGAATTATTATAAAATGTAACACACGTTGTTGACAACCATGTTACTAGTCATAAAACATTATATGAAATATTTTAGAAATTATAAATCTTTACCACTATCCATACCGAAGCATAGAACATCAGGCTTTCGGGGTAGCTTCCGGTATGCCGCATCGACAGTGTGGAATAACCTGCCTCCACCTGTCAGGTCTCTCAACGCCATTGGTACTTTTAGAACACACGTACGTCGATATTTGATGGACGCACAGAGAAAGATAGGAATGGCGATTGTCAACATATCATTAATATAACTGTTTGGCTGGGAACGCAGCTCGGTCTCGTGCGTGCTCGATATTGCTCACTGGTGCCTGTCACATCACATCACAACACAAGTGGTCACATTCACATGTGTTCAATGGTCGCCGACGCCATAGCGTAGTGTCGCGGTTTTGCCTGCTTGCTATCGCCATCTCAATCCCATGGCATGACTTATGCGGTCGCTGGGGTGGCGGGAGCGGTAGGATGCTCCAATTTCAATTTGTTTTTTGTTTTACGTTTTTTAAATTTCCTTTTTTGTTGTTATATATTTGTTTTGTTTTGTGCATTTTATTTTGTGTTTTTGTCTGATTGGTGTCCGCGAATCACTTAAGGGGCCAGTAGAATACCAGCGCGAGGCCCTGTCTTGCACATGCTGAACTGGTCCCATTTCACCGCAGACTTGGGACATTAGTAGATGTACTTATAAAAACTTATGTGTAAAATCTGTACGTGTCACCTGTTTTAGCGTGTGAAATAAAGTTTTTCTTTCTTTCTAATTCTTCAGTGAGTGTGTATGTCACTGAACTTCTCTCAAACGACTGGACCGATTTTGATGAAATTTTTTGTGTGTATTCAAAGGGATCTGGGAATGGCTTAGATTCACAAATCAGCCCGGCAGATGGCGCTCCAGTCGGTATCTAGCTTAGTTACCCTAAACGGCTGAACTAATTTGAATGATTTTTTGTTTATTTATACATTCAAGTGGATATGCAGGACAACGTCTGTCAGGTCCGCTAGTAATAATATATGATAGTGCTGAATAAAGAATAAATGGATTTTCTGTCTTTCTTTCTGAACAATTTTTTATTTTTTTATTTCTTTCCGATAATATAATTATACTACCAAATTAGCATAATAGAAATAAGCTTTTTAAATTCGTAGTTAGGTATTATATCTGTAGGTACGAGTACGAGGAGGCCGAGTGGTGCCGCCTCGGTGACGGCACGAGTACCTACGTAGAAGTAAAGAGTCGACGTACCGCGATGTCCTTGAGGCTGTCTCCGAGGTTGTCGCGCAGCACCCGCAGCTGCGTCAGGTTGGCCAGCGGCGCCGCCAGCACGCTGCCGCGCCCGGCCGACCTGCGGACACGGCGCGGTCAGGGCGCGCTCGGGCCGCCTCGGGCCGCCTCGGGCCGCCTCGGGCGCGCCGGCGCGCTACTCACGTGTCCAGCCAGTACAGCGAGGCGCCGTACACCGCCAGCGCCACGGGGTGGTGGCGCTGCGCCGGCAGCTGCGCCAGCAGGCCGCGACGCGCGCCGTCGTAGTCGGCGGCCCACAGGCGCGCGCCGCCCGGCTCCAGCCAGTACAGGCGGCGCGCGGCGCCGTCCGCCGCCACGTCGCCCACGGCCGAGCCGTTGTACAGCAGGCCGCGCTGGCCGCCGTCCAGCCGCGCGCGCTGGATCCAGCCGCCGCCCGCCAGGAACAGCCAGCCCTCCACCGGGTCTATCGCCATCGCTGCAAGCCCGACCCCACACTCAACGACCGCTCAAACCATTCGTCCCGATTGTCACGATTGCCGACATATTATTATTTATTTAAGTGAAAAATTTACCAAATACAGTACTAATTTAGGTAGAAAGGCTTTCAAAAAAAATTGTCTCATATGCTTTCAAAGTTCACAAATTAAAGTAAATTTTATTCAAACGTCAGTCAATTTCTTATTAAATAAAAATAAATAATTTAAACCAATTGTTTTTGCATTAAATATTAAAAATCCTGAATTCATCTGTTTAACAGCGAATTACACGCGAGAGATATAGAGGTAATTATGCTTGTCATTTTGCTTTTTATTTAAGAACACTTAAGATGGCCCGCCTCTTTGACTTTATATGCATGATGTATTTTTACTGCGAAGTTATATGTTAACAGTATTTCATTATTAATGATGCACATAATCTATATAAATAAAAATGAATTTCGTTCCATAGTCTCACTCAAACTCGAGAAAGGATCGACTTGGCTAACTTTGGTCTTGAAATGTTTGTGGAAATCCAGGAATACTTTAAAACACGAGAGAAAAAAGTTGTAGGCAGGACATAGTTCGCAATATAATTTGTTTTCGGGTCATCTTAGGCGGGGGCCTATGTTCCTAAGATTGCCCAATATAAAAAATATTCTACTTTTTGGATATCGTCATTGTTAAATAAATTATACCATTTGAATTATGCTTTTTCTCTACTTTAAGTTAACTACTTACTTTACTACTTTTTCTTTACTTTAGGTTTTAAACTAAGGTGGGCCTTATTAAGCCAATTCGAGGCTTGATTCTTCACAGAATGATTTATTGGACAAGGATCTCATAGCGAGCGAGCACTGACAGGTGACGGCGAGCGGGTCGCTGTCCAGCAGCACGTAGCGGTGCGCGCCGTCGTAGCGCGCCACCAGCACCAGCGCGCGCCGCGGGTCCGACCAGTACACGTTGCGCGCGCGCCAGTCCGCCGCCAGCGCGGCCGGCCAGTCCGCCGCGCCCGCGCCCTCGCCCGCGTCCTCCAGCAGCGCGCGCCCGCCGCCGTCGCGCCGCACGCGCCACACGCGCGCCGCCTCCGCGTCCACCCAGAACAGCAGCTCGGCGGCCGCGTCGTACGCCAGCGCCGACGCCATCGACAGCTGCGGCACGGGCGGCAGCAGCCCGCGCTCGTCGGCCACGCCCGCCACGCCCGCCTCGCCCGCCTCGCTCGTCTCGCCCGCCTCGCCCGTCTCGCCCGCCTCGCCCGACGCGCCTGCCTCGCCCGTCTCGCTCGCGTCGCCCGCCGCGACGCTCGCATTCAGCGCCGCGCCGCGCACCTCCCAGCTCACCGAGTACACCACCACCTCGTCCACGGCTGCCGACCATTCCATCGTTACCACACGGACGGCACACATATTCGATTGAAGGTAAGTACTAATCGAGTCATTTTCACTTATTATTACTTCCTTTTAACAAAACCATTGTCTTATACTAGGATATTATCCTGCATCGTGGCTGCGTTACAAACATTCAATGTCACATACACATATTACGGAAATCAATTATTCTATAGTCTATTCACAATAGCATTAGTCAGAAGCATGTCAGAAGTCAATAAAGCTTATTTTTTGGGGTACACTTTATCTCCTCTATCTTCTAACGGTTTATTTCTCGAACTCTTTCTGTTCTTCTGGTAAAATCTCACCAATGTATCAGCCAGTAATCTTAGGTAATAAGTACATACATGTTTAAGGTTAAATACAGAAATAATTTATACAACTTTAAATATAAAAAAATAATTCAAAACTAAAATATTTACACCTTAAATAAAAAATAAAAAATATTAACTTGCACCGATCACCTGGAACCATTTGATCGTCGACTTCAGGGACACCCTGTATATTAAAAATATTTTTTTTTGTATTGTATTATGTACAATTTATGCGATTTGTACAGACGAATCTTGTTGATAAATCATTGATTTTTTTATTGTTTGTAATTAAAGTTATATGCATTTTAAACAAAATCTGATGCACTGACCAATCCATCTGTCTAGTACTTAATTCATTTATCAAAATCTAAGTTTACAAGTTCTCTTTTTGTAATGCAGAAGTGAATAGACTATAGGGTGTTGTGTGTTAGTTCGAAATATTGAATGCACGACTACAAGCCGGGGTGTCGAGAGTACAGGCGCTACGTACGGGTGCAGGCGTCGCCGTGGCGCCGGTAGCCCGTGGCGCACAGACACTGGCTGGCCGCGGCCGACACGGCCACGCACAGGTGCGCGCAGGGCGCGGCGCGCGCGGCGCACGGCCCGCGCACGGCGCGCTGCGCGGCCGCGTCGTACACGCGCAGCGCGCGCACGGCGGCGGCGGGCCGCAGCGTGCGCAGCGAGCGCGCCGCGCAGCGCTCCTTGTCGCAGGCGCGCAGCAGCTGCGCGGCGCCGTCCGCCCACACCACCTCGCCGCCGTGCAGCTCCAGCGCGCTCGGCCGCGCGCCCGCCTCGATCTCCAGCTGCCCAATCAATAGCGTGCAATACACTCACGACCCTTTTTAACATTCATGTGATTGCTAAACGTGAACCCTACAAATTAGCTCCTCGATACCTGCACTTATTGTTATTTTAGCTGTAAGTTTTCAATGAAATGAAAATCAATAATAAATTACGCAATAACTTAAGACAGTCCCTTAAGTATCTAGACAATTAACAGACTTGGTATAACATAGATCTCACAATTTTTTATTTATTTATTTATAAAATCAGTTAAAAATAACATAAGCACAGGTATCTCACGTACAGAATTATGACTTTAATGTGGTGTGAGAACTGGAATAAACAAAATTAAAAAGATAGTAAAAGTTACAGAGAAAAACAAAATAGAATACAAAAATGCAATATGCAGCTGCGTGCGTATGCAGACAAACTGATTCACAAATTATTATTTTCATTTCTAATTTCAGCTTAAAGATTTCGAGGCGTTAGCAGTTTTTGCAGAATTCACACTAATGGCAAAAGATCAAGGTCATATTCCTTACTTATTCCTTATTTAAAAGATATCTACATCGGTTCTTGATAAATAAATGCTATTATAATGTTCAAGACTTTATTTCAGGAAAATAAAGTAGACAATTTTTGTAGTGGAGTAAATTGAAGGTGTGAATTACGTGTTGTACCTACTATAATGACATCAGATACTTTTTGTGAAAACCTTACTTTGTTATTACAATTTGATTGACTTTCACATTTAAATTTAACTAATTTATGACTGATTGATTTACATACTTACTATTATTTTCTGTATTTTTTTTTTGTCGATTATTGATGTATAATTTCTATGACTAATTATTTGATTGATTTATGAATGTGAAAAGATATTTTTGACTCGTACCTACATATATTGACTGATTGTGAATTTCATTAATACATACAATGGTTGAGACATACCCAATATTTGCATGCCCAACGGGTAGAACATAGAGATACAATATGTACAAAAAAAATAACACCTTAGGCACTAATTATGTACTACACCTCTGTTCAGCAAATAAAGACATTTGATTTGATTTGATTTTAATTTTACAAATATTCAAGTCAATATGTTCCCGATACCTTGGCATCTTAAATATTTGTTTTACTTTTTAAATTTTTTCCTCCGTGGAAAAACTGAGGTGCAGTACTTGGATGATTTACAGGATATTTTTGATGGAATACAAGTGGAAGGGATGGACGTTTAACGCTTACCGTAGTCACTTTACCAGTGGCGACGTCGATGTACTGCATGGTCGACGAGCCAGTGTTCACCCAGTACAGGCGGTCCGCGTCCAGGTCCACGCACAGACCTGCAACACGAGCGGTCAGCGGGCGCAGGCTGCGGCCGCGGGGGAGGGCGGGGCAGGGCGGGGCAGGGCGGGCACTCACTGGTGACGCCGGACAGGCGCGGCTCGGCGAGCGAGTCCAGCAGGGGGCGCGCGTGCTCGGCGGCGCCGTCGGCCCGCGTGATGCGCTCGGCGTCGGGCTCGCGCGCGGCCCAGTACAGGCGGCCGCGGCGCGGGTCCACGGCCAGCGCCGACACGTTGGCGCGCGCGCGCAGCAGCAGCGTGCGCTCGCCCGCCAGGCTGGCGGCCAGCAGCGCGGCGCCCGACGAGTAGTACAGCACGCCGGCCGCCCAGTCCAGCGCCAGCGCGCGCGGCCGCCGCACGCCGCTGTCGGCCAGCACGCGCACGGCGCCGCCGGCCAGCGCGGCGCTGTTGATCTCGCTGGTGTCGGTGTCGGCCCAGTACAGGCGGCGCGCGCGCGCCTCGTACTGCAGCGCGGCGGGCGCGGCCACGTGCGCGCCCGCCACGGCCGGCACCATGTGCTCCAGCGGCGCGTCCAGGTCCACGCCGCGGATCTCGCCGGCGCGCGCTATCAGCAACACCTTCTCGTGCGCTGCGGCGGACACACGTATCAACATGGGCTGTAAGAGTGTTGATGTACTCGCGACTGACGAGTGATCGGACACGTACGCTCGCAGGTGGCGCCGTCGGGCCGCAGCCGCATGACGTGCGGGCAGGCGCAGTGGCGCTCCGTGGGCGAGTGGATGAGACACAGGTGCGAGCAGCCCCCGTTGGCGGCGCAGGGGTTGCGCGCGGCGGGCGGCTGGCGGCGCGGGTGCAGCACCTTGACGTCGAAGGGCTGCGTGAGCGTGCGCTGCACCACGGTGACGTTGGCGCCGCGCCACTTGTCGGCGCGCAGCACGCTGTTGGAGCGCCAGTCCGTCCAGTACACGTGCGCCTCGAACACGACCACGGCGAAGGGGTGCGACAGCGCGGGGTGCGCGCGCAGCACCACGCGGTGGTCGGCGCCCTCGTAGTCGGCGCAGTGGATGGAGTCGGAGCGCGCGTCCACCCAGTACACGCGGCGCGCGCGGTAGTCCAGCGAGATGCCGTTGGGCCAGGCGCCGTCGCCCAGCACGTCCGCGCGCACCAGCACGCGGCGCGCGCGCCCGGCCAGCGAGGCGCGCTCGATGCGCGGCGCCGCCTGCTCCCAGTCGCTCCAGAACAAGTACCCGTCGCGCGGGTCGGCGGCGATGGCGCGCGGACTGTCCATGTCGCCCGCCAGCAGCGTGCGCCGGTACTGGCCGTCCAGCCGCGCCACCTGTAGCGCAGGCTTCTGTCGGCCACTTCGTACGCACTGATTGCTGGCTTAACCGTTTTTATCATTCCGGAATTCCCGTGACAAATTAATATTTGGTCTGAATCACTTACTTCGGACCATATCCCATGAATAAACAATTGGACCTCTTCATTTAAACATGTTAAATCAAAACCGAGTGAGTTGTAGCGTCTGTTACGCTACAACTCAATCGGTTTTGATGTTGCCACCGGTACGATACTAGCGACCTCAACAATAATAAAAATAAGCCCGCAGGACACCGTGAGGCGAGGTGATGGGCATTAGTGACCCCGCGGGTACACCTACACTAAACAGGGTCTGTGCTTGAGTGCAATCCCATAGTGCATACAGGGATAGTCACCGGTTTGTGTGAACTATGCGAAATGATCGCGGCGAGCGTACCTCGATCTGGTGCAGACTGCTCTCGACCCAGTAGAGGTTGCCGGCCACCCAGTCCACCGCCAGCCCCTCGGCCGTCGACAGGCCCTGCCGCACCACCGCCTCGATGCCGCTCAGCGCTGCAACACACGCAGGTCAGGCCGAGCACGCGCCGCGCCGCCCGCGCCGCCGCGCCCACTCACCGTTGCCGACGATGGAGCCGCGGTAGATGTTGTCGTCCACGACGTCGGTCCAGTACAGCTGCAGCGCGCCGCTGGCGGGGTCGCGGCGCCAGTCCAGCGCGATGGTGTTCTTGAGCGCGGAGATGAGCGGGCGCGCCGTCAGCGCCGGCAGCTCCACGCCGCGCACCTCGTGCCGGTTGCTGAACACCAGCAGCGCCGTGCTGCCGTCTGACAGTCATAAAAATAAACAATGTTTAAATGACAATGACCAAATTTGTATGGAGCGTGGTGCCTTTTTGTTTTTTCGCAGCAGTTGATCGAATGTGGAAAAACTGATGCAGAATAACATTACAAACAAAAAAATATATGGGGTCTTATATCAAAAACACAATCCAAACCGAGTTAAATCAGTTCAAAGATGTGAAAATAGTGCCATATTATTCCTGTTATTTTGTTGATAACCGACCGTACACAACGTATATTTCTTCATTTACTTGTCAGAAATATTTTATAATAAATGTTTATAAACGATTTCAAGGAATATTATAAAGCTTATTGTGAACTTTTTTACTTATTTTTTTTATTATAAGGCCACGGAATCAGAACCGAGTAAACCATTAACTGGCTACTGCTGAAGTTAAAAAAACATTTCGCTTGATTGGCTAGCGTGTTCACTTTATATGTAACTATACGGTTTATGGGCTACGACAGATTTTCATGATCAATTTCCTCTCAGTCAAAAACTCGCAAAATACTTTACTGAGCCCTATCATGAAATGCTATGTTTGTCAGCTGCAGCGTCGGTAGCGGATTGAGTAGCGGCAGTCGTCAAAACTCAAAAAATCATTTTTCTGTCTACTTCTTCCGACTTACTCCGGAATAGTAACTAATCTAACTACAGTTAATACTTTAATCGACAGCTAGCATAAGATTCTGTACAAAGATATCGTCATTCAGTCACAAAATGATGGATTATATTACGACTGATCACATTATATGAAAAAATTATGCGGTCATCTGACGTATAGTCCATCACTTTACCAAGTCGACGGTTTCCTTTCTTCAAAAGATTATGCTAACTATAAAGTAGATGAGTCTCCCACCAGGAGTCAACAGCAAAAAAATAATAATTTATTAGATGTTTGGACGGCTACCACTACCCAACCCACCACTGTTACGACAGCTGACGCTCATGAAGCTTCCTGATACAACTCCTAGAAGCATCCCACAAGTTATCGACACAGAAAAAATAGCTAATAAAAATTAGTGCCTGGCAATATGGATATATTGTGGTGTGATATGGTGTTCCTGTGTCCGGCGTACAATGGCGCGCAATTTGAAGTTAGGAATTGTGACAAAAATATGAATAATTTGAATAAAAAATCCAAAGTAAAATGTTTGACTCCAGCTCCTTTCAACGCTCATAACTCAGTCCAGACTGTGATTTATATATATGAGCCCATAGACAATTTCGTTTGTAATGTCATCTTAGATAATATTTTCCATAAATCATCGACTGCCGCCAGAAAAAAGAAAGGCACCAATTTTAGTCAATGCCCTTTAAAATTTAATAAAGGTAGGAGCTGACCAGTCACAGTTGACGGCGCCCGTTCACGAACATGACACGTACACCAGCACCGCCCAACTCAGCCATATTGCAAGGAATCTAGCGACCCAATGCACGTGCCACCGCCAATGAGATCTTTGAGTGAACATGACAACTCCAAGCTGACATAAATGCATTCTACTAGTCCAAATTAAAATATTTAGTTAATTACAAGGCTCTCACATTAACAATGATTATGCAAGTTAAACAATATACAATTTAGCAACTACGTTGTAATATTTAGGTTGAATATCATTGACACATCAATGTTTTTCGTTATCCCGTGGAGCTGGACCAGCGTGCATCCAAGCATTTTTATCTTCTATATAATCATTAATTTTGTAATATGCTTGTCTACATAAAGTTTTTTTAAAACATAATTTAAACTTCGTTTCATTTAGGTGTTGTATATCGCTTGGTATTTGTTATAACATTTAACACAGAATCCCATGAACGATTAACTTACTTTCGCCAATCTCAAAATTGGCTGACTTAATCTATCCTTATGTCTAGTTTGATAGTGGTGTCTGTCCGACACTTTACCAAATAACTGTAGGTTTTTCCTAACATACATAATGTTTTCATAAATAAGTTGACATGGAACTGCAGCTCGACCCCACAACAAAATGCCGTACGACATAATGCTGTGGAAATAACTAAAATAGACAAGCCTAGCTGTATCTACGTCCGTGAGCTGTCTAATCTGTCTAACTGCAAAAGCAGCTGAGCTCAATCTCCCCGAAAGCGCCTTTATATGCGGACCCCATTGTAGCCTATTGTCTAACGTAATGCCTAAAAATACTGTCTCGTCGACAAATTCTAACTTTTGCCCGTTCAAAACAATATCACAATCGTTACTACGCACGTTTGGTAAACTGAATTTAATACATTTTGTTTTTTTCTCATTAAGTGCTAGATTATTAATGGTGAACCAATTATGCACTTGAAAAATGGAGCTGTTTACGTCGTCAAGATTATTTATACGTCCATCTATTTTAAAAATTAATGATGTATCATCTGCAAAAAGCACCATTCTTGGTTCATTTTTAAATATAAATGGCAAATCATTTATATAGACTAAAAAGAGAAAGGGACCCAATATTGAACCTTGAGGAACGCCCATATTCATCCCAGAGCCCTGTGAGTTAATACCGTTAATATGAACCTTTAACTGTCTCTCTTCTAAATAAGATCTCATAAGTCGGAGCGCAGAGTTTCTTATCCCGTAGTGATCTAATTTCAGCAAAAGTGTCTCGTGGTCAACGCAATCAAATGCTTTTGAGAGGTCACAAAAGACACCAATAGCATCCTGTGCTTCCTCCCAAGCACCAAATATTTCCTTAATCAAAGTGACACCGGCGTCAGTTGTGCAACGACCTTTAGTGAAACCGTATTGTTGTTGGTGAAAGATGGAATGTTTATTAAAATGATGAAACATCCGAGACAGCATCAACTTTTCAAAGACTTTGCTGAGAACCGGCAAAACAGACACTGGCCTATAGTTGTTAGGTTCTTTAGTGTCACCACTTTTAAATAGTGGGATAACCTTACTATATTTCATTAGGTCAGGGAAAACACCGTCATCTATACATTTATTGAAAATCACAGCCAGATATGGCGCTACAGTTTGGATAAGTGACTTGCAAACTATTACCGATAAGCCCCAAAGATCCTCCGTTGATTTGGTCTTGATTTCTTTAAAAACTTTTATAATTTCTAGAGGATTCGTATATCGAAAACTAAAGTCGTATTGACATGATTCTATGTTGTTCTTAAGCAAAGTTACAGAGAGTTTTGCTGATGACTTTAAATGTTCAGTTGTTGTAATAGGAATGTTAGTAAAAAAAATTTCAAACTCCTGGGCTACATCTACGTTTGATGAAATCTGTCCCCTTTCGGTATTTAAATTAAATTCTGAGTTTCTTAATCTTTTCCTACCAGTCTCGTTGTGTATAACTTTCCAAGTAGTTTTTATCTTATCATCAGACGATTTTATTTTATTACTAATATAAAGACGTTTCGCGACTCTGCATACTATTCTAAAGGTTTTTGAATAAGATGTTACATACTGGTGAAATTGGGGGTCGTTTTTGTACGGTTTCATTCCATAAAGTTCAAAAAGTCTGTCCCTACTCTTACGAATACCTACAGTTGCCCAATCGCTAAATACAAATTTGGTATGAATATCTTTATTTTTTATTGGTAAAATATTGTTAAATTCCTTGTTTAACATCTCAAAGAAATCGTTGTAGAATTTATTCAGATTACTAGCTAAAGAATTGCTCAATTTCTGCAGATTTTTGAACGTGATTTGCACACAGGACAACTTTTTTTTATCAAATTTAGTCTTTTCCAGAAACATCTCTAATTCAAAGACTTTTGAGGAGCAGCCCTGAATGTTAATATAAAATAATTGTAGGTTGTGCTGCCCCTGTGTATAATTGTTCTGTGCTTTTTCCTTGCCAGAATATACCTTATTATTTATATGATTTATGAAGGTATGTTCTGTTGTCTTAAAATCTAGTTTAAACTTAAATTAAAATGTGCCTCTGTGATGTTAGACACTCTTGACAACACAGATTCGTCCTTAAAACTATTTTCTGTTATACAAGGTATAACAGTGTTAATATTATATGCTATCAGCATAGCAATTTTTGTCGACATTTTTTTGAAAGGTGTACACTTTTCTTTGAAAAAACAAAAGTACTAATACATTTATTAGTGTCAAAAAATAAAAGTCTGTTATTGTGACATGTCATATTCATTTTAAAAACCAATGAAGTGTCATCAGCAAATAAAACCATATGTGGCTCATTTTTAAATAAATGGGGTAAGTCATTTATGTATGTTAAAAATAAGAATGGGCCCAGTATCGAGCCCTGCGGTACACCCATAGATATGCTAGCACCCTGTGAGTTTATTTTGTTTATTTGTATTTTGAGTTGCCTATTCTGAAGGTATGATTTTAATAGATTTAGCGATACTCCTCGAATGCCATAATGTTCCAGTTTCAGCAATAATGTCTCATGCTCAACACAGTCAAATGCCTTCGATAGATCACAAAATATGCCAATGGAATCATGTGTCTCTTCCTACGAAGCGAAAATCCGTTTAATTAGCGCTACTCCCACGTCAGTAGTACAGCGACCTTTGGTGAACCCGTATTGTTGGTCATGGAAAATACCATTAATGTCAAAGTGACGTAGCATCTGGGTGAGCATTAGTCTTTTAAAAACTTTGCTGAGCACTGGTAAAATAGAGACCGGCCTATAGTTGTTGGGTTCTGCACTGTCACCGGATTTAAACAATGGAATCACTTTATTATGTTTCATTAAATACGGGAAAATTCCTTGATCATTGATTGAGATTGAATTATTAAAGATGAAAGCCAAATGAGGTGCTATAGTTTCTATAAAAGACCGACACATCCTAACCGACATTCCCCAGAGATCTTCAGTCGATTTAACTTTAATATCTTTAAACGCTTTAATGACTGCTTGAGGGTTGGTGTACTGAAAACGAAAAACAGAAGAGCATTCTGTAACATTGCTTTTAAGAAGCTCAACAGAGAGAGATGGCGATGATTTTAACGTTTCCGTGGTTTTATGTGGTATATTTTTAAAGAAGCTTTCAAATTCCTGTGCAACTTTTGAATTTGTACTGATGCGTCCCTTTTCAGTTTTTAAATTGAATTCAGCGTTACGTAATTTATTTCTACCTGTCTAGTTATTAATTATATTCCAGGTAGTTTTTATTTTGTTTTCCGCGGTCCTAATTTTACTCCTAATATAAATTGCTTTAGCCTGTTTACAAAGTAATTTAAATATTTTCGAATACTTGGAGACATATAAGTGAAAAGCCTCACTATTATTAAATGGTTTCATACCGTAAAGCTCGAATAGCTTTCCCCTACTTATACGAATACCTGGTGTAGCCCAGTCACAGAATACAAACTTACATTGAATCGTTTTACGTTTTAAAGGGAGCATTTTGTTAAACTGTGTTTTAATAATAGACAACAAGTTGGCATAAATTTCACTTGGGTTTTCGCTATCATGTTGTGATTTAATGACTCAACTTTTTTATTGGTGATTTGTCTAAACAGAACATCCCTTTTTAGTACAGTTGTGATACTGGTAAAATCTACTATAAGCCCACTGTGATCAGATGGTAATATATTCACAATGTCTTTATGTGAATAATTACAGTTACAAAAAACATTATCTATGCATGATGCCGAGGTGGAAGTTACTCGGGTGGGTTGAAGAAAAACATTAGACAAATCAAATGATTAAAAGAGACTCAACAAGTTAGAACAGTTAGAATTGCTTTCCAAGAGATTAACATTAAAATCGCCACATACTATGGTAAATTTACTATTGGACCGGGTAGTCCTATAATATGTAAACATAGATCATTTCGGCAATTTATTAAAGATCTAATAGTTGTCTGCTTCCTTGAGTTTGGATTCCCTTGTCAAAATGCTATCGGTGTTTCAATATTACTACAGTCGCGTACAGGTTGCTATGTGAACGACTGGGGCGCCCTCATTCAGTTTCATGATTAAATAGACAACCTACCTTTTATAATTTTTTATGAAATAGGAGGCAAACGAGCCTACGGATCACCTAGTTGATGGTAAGCGATTAGCGCCGCCCATGGACACCCGCAACGATAACGGAGTCCCAGGTGCGTTGCCGGCCTTTCAGAAAGGATTACGCTCTTTTCTAGAAACTATTTACTTTCATTCGTATAATCAAGCTATAAGCTTATGTTATTTATTCATGTAACGTGAATGACCAATTTATTCTCGCTTTTGAGAGCGTGAGGCCCCGAGGAATGGTCTCACCCGTGCTCTTGCAGCTGAAGCCGTCGTCAGCGAGGCGGTACCCGTCGTCGCACGTGCACTTGTGGGCCGCCTTGGTGGGCACGCAGCCGTGCGCGCACGCGCCCCACGCCGCGCACGGCCGCCGCGGGCCGCACGTGGCGCCGTCCGCGCCCAGCGCCAGGCCGGCCGGGCACGCGCACACCGGCCCGCCCGGCGCCGCGTGGCACGCGTGCGAGCACGCCGCCAGCGCGCACATGGGCTCGCCGCAGCGGTCCGCCTCGTCCGCGCCGTCCGCGCAGTCCGCCGCGCCGTCGCACTGCTGCTGCAGCGGCACGCAGCGCGAGCCGTTGTCGCAGCGCAGCCCGGGCGCCGCGCACCGCGCCCGCCGCGCCCGGCGCCTCGGTGCTGGCGGGCGGCCGCGCGCTGCTCGGGCCCGCTCCGGCGCACTGAGCCTCGTCCGACCCGTCCAGGCAGTCCACGTGCGCGTCGCATCGGAACTCCTGCAGCACACGCCACAACTCAGCATGCGGGCGGCGGGGGCGGGGCGGGGCCGGGGCGGGGCGGGGACACACTTACCTTCCTGATGCACTCGGTGTTGTTGCACTGGAACTCGTGCTCCTCACACGCACTTACATCCGCATTTTTACTGAAATGAGACACGGCACTGTATGTGGCACAATACTATGTGAACGAAGTTTATCAGTTCTATCAAATTCTTAAAATTTTTGATACTCTGGCAGTTAACAGTGAATGCATTCGCTTCCTGTGTGGACGTAGTATTACAGTAGCAACACACTCACTGGTGGTGAGTATCCAGCGCGCGATGCGGCGGCGGCGTGGAGGTGACGTCTGCGCAGGCGCGCTCGTCGCTGGCGTCGGCGCAGTCGGCGTGGCCGTCGCAGTAGTAGTCCCACGGCAGGCAGGCGCCGTTGTCGCACGGGAACATGGCGGCGCTGCAGCGCTGCGCGGCGCAGGCGTGCTCGTCGCTGGCGTCGCCGCGGCCGCAGTCGGGCGCGCCGTCGCAGCGCCACCACAGCGGGATGCAGCGGCGCGAGCGCGCGCACTGGAACTGCGCCGCGCGGCACCCGCCGCCCGCGCACGCCGCCGCGGCCTCGTCGGCGCCGTCGTTGCAGTCTGCACACGCCCAGGGCTGAGTGTTGGCGACCCGCGCCGGCCCGCGCCGCCCCGCGCCCCGCGCCCCGCCACTTACCTTTCTGTCCGTCGCAGATCCACGAGTTGGGTATGCAGCGGTTGGAGTCGCAGCGCAGGAACTGCTCGTCGGCGCACGTGACGTTGGCTGCACAGACCACGCGCGAATATACAGGTGGAGCCGGTGTATTTAGAGCACTCAACGATGTACTTGGACCAACCAGGTGACAGGCAAACCAGATTTATGACAACAAATGAAAAAAAATAACAAAAAAGAACACTTATATAAGGCTTAGATTTAAGTTAACCTACCTGCAACCTAGTACCCTAATAATAGTAAATATTTGCATAGGCATAATCAAGTAGCTGAGGATGAGAAGAGCTGAAGACCGAGCTCAGTGGCGTGCCCTTGGAGAGGCCTATGTCCAGCAGTGGACGGATACAGGCTGATGATGATGAATCAAGTAGCTAACATTATCCATCAGCAACTTGCTTTAGACTATCGACTTGTTCAATCTAAGGTACCGTACTACAAGTATGTGCCCGACCCAGTTCTGGAAAATGACCATATCACATTGTACTGGGACCGGTCTATCATTACTGACAGGACTATTGTAGCCAATAAACCTGACATAGTGGTGATAGACCGACAAGTACGCCACACGATGATAATCGATGTCACCATTCCCCATGACGAGAACCTCGTGAAAGCTGAGAAAGATAAACAAATCAAATATCTAGACTTAGCTCACGAGGTTGTCGACATGTGGAGTGTGGACTCGGCTATCATTGTGCCGATAGTCGTGTCGGCCAATGGGTTAATTACTGGAAGCCTCGACATACATTTCAGGAGGCTGGCGTTAGGTGGATGGATCAAGGGCCTGATACAGAAGGCAGTTCTCCTTGAAACGGCACGTATCGTGAGGAGGTTTCTGTATCTGGAGCCCTAACCACCGGTAGCTTGGACCATGCTCCCGCTACTGGTTGGCTCCTATTTTTTATATATTTTTTTTTAAATTTTATTGTAAGTAGTATTTAAAAATGTAAATTGTAGAGAATTTAAAATAAATATATATGTATTAATAAAAATTCTGGCTTCATCCGACAATGGCAAAGCCAGAATGCTATTATAGTAGTGATTATATAATATCTCGGTTGAGCGGCACCATACAATAGCAACAAAAATTATGTTCCAAAATTTAGCGCTGAGTATATTTCTGCTTAATTTTAGATACAAAATGTAGATAGAATGAGAACGTACAAAACTAAAGTAAAGTAACTTTAAAGTACTAGCTCGTTTAAATGGCTTTGAAATTGATAAATTGATGACTGTTTCCGACGCTTTGTCTGTATCGCAAGTTATTTGTTTATGTTGCGGGCTTTGAAATTCTTGCTATGAAACCAAGCTGCCTGTACGACTTCTTGATCACATGATCCATATGTAAGTTAAATGAGAGTTGTGAGTCCATCAAGACACCTAAATCACGAACCGAGTAAACTCGACTAAGGGGTTCAACGTTAATATGATAGTTATAGTTTACAGGTGTACGGTTTCGAGTGTATGTGATGATAAAACACTTATTTCAGTTTCATCACCGTCCACTTGAAGTCGCTTATCCATAGGATTGACTAGGTAATCGTTAAAATCAAGCAGATTAGTTTGCACGGACCGGCCTTTTAAAAGCCGTGCTGGTTTGGGGATATATGACGCTGTAACAAACGTGAAAGCTAACTCGCTACAATTTATTCTAAATTTTTCCCAAATAAGTTAAGTTTGCTAATCGGACTGTATGTATTGCGTTACATCGTCTCTTCTATCACTTTTCGGGATTGGAGTAACTAAAGCTTGTTTCCATATTGTAGGTGTTCGTTCAAAAAGTTTGTATCACATAATTTTGTATATTTATTAATCTGTAGTCCATTCATGTCATTCTACCTTCAACATATTTACTTTAGTGTCAAATATAATTTCGAAACAACCGCACGTCTTTCATTGGAAAATCTACACAAGCAAACTGCAACCTTATCACCTCAACATATGGTCCATAATCGAGCCGGATAGCAGCGTCCGATAAATGGAGGAGTACATTTTGTAAGAGTGACACATAATGTCATTGTAAAAATCGGAAAGAAAAATTAGATATTTTAAACGAATACAATTATACATAGTAACTAAATTCAATTGATTGCTTTGTGAAGATTTAGATTTTACGAAACAACAATGGCTACAGAAGTGGATAAAGCATGCAACATTGTGGAAATTATTGCGCGTACTTTACAGAAGACCCAGATCAATTTAAAGAAGAGCCCAAAGACCAGATTAACCCGCACTTACGTCGAAGCTCGTCTGAAATGTGTAGAAGACTACTGGATTGACTATAAGCAAGCTCATAGCGAAATAATACGTAACGTACAACGGGAGAAACGGAACCTTATACCGTATTTAGCAAATGAAGAATATTATGAACATGAGGAGATGTACATTAGCTTGATTACTGACTTGAAGGAACTTTTAGTGACACAGACAGTTAGTGATAGTGCTTCGTTGCCAATACCCAGCGAATCTCAACCGATGAAAGTAATTTTACCAAAAATACAACTACCTACGTACAGTGGACAATATGAAGAGTGGTTATCATTCCATGATTTATTTTGTACACTTGTGCATAATAATGCGTCATTAAATAATGTACAAAAGTTGCATTATTTGAAAACAAGCCTTTCTGGTGAAGCCGCTTCGATATTAAAGCACATACAGGTGACGGATTCGAATTATGAGCAAGCGTGGAACATTTTAAAAGCAAGGTATGGCAATATTCGAATTATCATAAATGCAGTCATGAAAAGGTTCTTTTCTCAAAAGAAAATGACTGTTAACAGTTCAAGTCTTATCAAAAATTTGCTAGATACAACGTTCGAATGTTTACATCAACTCAAAACTTTGAAGGTGAATATTGAGAACTGGGATCCTCTTATAATATTTGTAGTAGTACAAAAACTAGACTGTGAAACGCACAAAGACTGGGAAGAGCATGTGAGTAGCAATTGTCAAGATTATGACACTCTACCGTCGTTGGATATGTTTCGCAAGTTCTTGGAAAGCCGATTTAGAACGTTGGAACTCACAGAACCAACAAAACAAAAGTCGAGTCCTGTACAAGTGCGAGAGAAGACATTTCATGTAACCACTAATGTTGAAAACACTAAGCAATGTAAACTATGCAAAGAAAGTCATACACTTAGCCATTGTAAAGAATTTGGAAAACAATCACCTACGGAAAGATGTGAGTTCATCAAAACGAACAACCTGTGCTTCAATTGCCTTGCACCTGGACACTCTGTAAGGTATTGTCGTATACCAACATGTTGTAGAATATGCAAAAGACGTCATCATTCACTTCTACATGAAAATAAGGAGGTTCAACGTGACACAACGGACAATACTAAGAGAGAAACAAAACAATCCGAAGTGACACTACATACAAACGTGGAGAAGAGTGAAGAACAAGACGTAACAATGATGACATCACACGTTTCAACAACACAAAGCACATCGTTATTAGCGACCGCAATCGTACGAGTAAGAAGTCAAAACAATCACACAATGATATTACGTGCTTTAATAGACCAAGGCTCACAAGCGAGCTTCATAAGTGAACGAGCTGCACAACAAATCATGGCAAAGCGGTATCCTATCAAGGGTACAGTCGTCGGTGTGGGATCAAAGAAAGAAGAACTCAGGCAAGTAGTTCAAATCAGCATCGAATCAAGGTGTGAAGATTTCAACATGGAAATCCGCACATATGTTCTATCGAAACCGTTGACTACTAAGTTACCATCCCGCACTATCAACACTAACAATTGGCCTCATCTAGAAGGACTAGTCCTGGCTGATCCAAGCTACTACCAGCCAGGTTCTATTGATTTGCTTCTGGGTGTCGATGTGTATGCACAAATTGTACAAGATCAAATAATCAAGGGTCCGCCAGGGTCACCGTGTGCTCATAAAACAAACCTCGGCTGGATTTTGTTCGGAAGAGTAGAAGAAACCACTCAACAAGCTGAAACTTTTCTTGTTATGCATCATCAGATTTTAGGAGAAGATTTATTAAAACTATTTTGGAAAATCTACACAAGCAAACTGCAACCTTATCACCTCAACAGTAGGAAAAATACCATCACATAGTGATTTAGTATAGACCATAGTTTGTAATGTATAACTAAATCAATCCAATCATTTCAAAATAAATGTTGAAACGTAGCTACGATTAGAAAAAATAGTAAATTTTATGGAGCATGTGGCCATCTTTGCAGTGTACTTTATTGTTTACTTTATTTTGTAGCGTGCATGCACGTAGTGACGCCTAGGTGACACGATTGGTACTACTTGACAACAAAGTGCACACATTTGTGCCGCTTTCCGTGAACTGACACTCCATCTAGACATTATATAATGTAATACACGAGCAGACACTGACCGCACGGTCCGCTGGGCGCCGCGTCCTCGTCGGAGCCGTCCGCGCAGTCCAGGTCGCCGTCGCACGCGTACTGCTCCTCGATGCAGCGCCTATATCACACAAGTGTCCAACTATAGCCATGTTTAATGATATCGATTTTGTATTGAACTTTAATATTGACCATTCCCTTTACTAGTATATTACGATTCCTATAACAGTACCGAACAATTCGCTATTCAATTCAACGCCACTATCGACAAAACAACAATTTGATATTAGGTAAGTACAAAATTTCACGAATTATGTAATATTAAATATATTACAAAATAGTTTTTTACGGCTACTTGGCAGTCAACGTTTTAAAGTAATTTAAAAAAAGGGGTAAATATACCCTTTTGTAATATTTACTGTGTCGTAAAATTCTTTCGTAGATTAAATTATTTTACGACAGTTACCACTTGTATAAATTGTTTTACATCTGTTTCAAACTCGTAACATCTAAAGTACCTACACGTCGTTATTTAGCCAGCAATTAAATAATATAGTACCAACATAACTACAGTGTTCGGTTAACAATTAATATCTTTGTTACAGTAAAATATTTGACTAATGACACTACTATTTTTGCGTTCCCCTATATTTATAAATATAGGGTGTAACCCTATATTTCTCTAGAAGGAAAACAAGATAAACTGTACTAAGCGACATCGAGTGTATCATCATGAAACGTATGGCCTCACCCGTTGCGGCAGGCGAAGGTGCCGGGCGCGCAGGGCGGCGGGGCGCGCGCCGCCGGCGCCGCGCGGCAGCTGAGCGGCGCCAGCGGGGCGGGCTCGCGGCCCTCCGCGCAGGCGCACTCGCGGCCCGCCGGCGTGGCCAGGCACAGCTCGGCGCAGCCCCCGCCGCGCGAGCACGCGTTGCGGCCGCCGCGCGCCAGCTCGCCCACCAGGCGCAGCCCGTACAGCGGCGGCGGCAGCCGGTACAGCTCCGTCACGTTGCCGTCCGCGTCGCGCCGCCGCACCGCGCCCGTGCCGTGCTCGCTCCAGATCACGGCGCCTGCCCGACATACATCACTGCACTGGACCGGCCCACCCACCTATACCTCGTATAGTAACCAAATAGAATGGCGGGCTATCTACCGACCTTCGTATAGCGCCAGACCGTACGGTTTGATGGCGTCGGCAGTGACCAGCTGCCGGCGGCCCGAGCGCAGCTCCAGGCGCTCCACTCTGTTGAGGTACGTGTCACACCTGTACACAACACGCAACATTAGAGCACGGCTTCTTTCTGTGAATAGAACGAACTAGCTTTCGAATAGAACAGGAAGAGTACTGACCAGTACAGGTAGCCGTCGTCGGAGAGCGCGAGCCCGGCGGGCCAGTGCAGGCCGTCCGCCAGCAGCGTGCGGCGCGCGCCCCCGTCCATGTGCGCCGTCTCCAGCCGCGCCGCGCCCCCGCCCGCGCCCGCCCACACCGACCAGAACATGGTGCTGCAACACAAGCCAGTGAGTGCCCGCGGCCCGCCCCGCCCGCCCACACCGACCAGAACATGGTGCTGCAACACAAGCCAGTGAGTGCCCGCGGCCCGCCCCGCCCGCCCACACCGACCAGAACATGGTGCTGCAACACAAGCCAGTGAGTGCCCGCGGCCCGCCCCGCCCGCCCACACCGACCAGAACATGGCGCTGCAACACAAGCCAGTGAGTGCCCGCGGCCCGCCCCGCCCGCCCACACCGACCAGAAATGGTGCTGCAACACAAGCCAGTGAGTGCCCGCGGCCCGCCCCGCCCGCCCACACCGACCAGAACATGGTGCTGCAACACAAGCCAGTGAGTGCCCGCGGCCCGCCCCGCCCGCCCACACCGACCAGAACATGGTGCTGCAACACAAGCCAGTGAGTGCCCGCGGCCCGCCCCGCCCGCCCACACCGACCAGAACATGGTGCTGCAACACAAGCCAGCGAGTGCTACATACCCGTTGGCGGGGTGCAGCACGATGGCGCGCGGGTGGTAGTGCTGGTAGTCGCGCTCGCGCACCAGCACGCGCCGCACGTCGGGCGCGTCCAGCCGCGCCACGCTCACCGTGCCCAGCGCGTCGTCCGTCCAGTACAGGTTGCGCCCTACAAATGTGTGTACGACTTGTTTGTAACATGGGCATAGAGCTAAATGTTAATTAAATCTATTCTGAGAAACAATAATCGTCGGCCGTGTTTATAGGAGTATGAGGGAGCCGGGCCGCGCTCACCCATCCAATCGACGGCGAGTCCCTCGCAGTTGTCGACGTCGCGGCCGGCGAACACCTCGCGGCCGCTGCCGTCCAGGCGCTGGCGCACGATCTCGTAGCGGTGCACGTCGCAGTAGTACAGGTACTGGTCGCGCGTGTCCACGTCCGCCGCCGTGGGCCGCGCCGCGTCCGTGGCCGGCGCCGCCGCCTCCCAGCCGCGCGGGCGCAGCGCCAGCGCCTGCACCAGCGGGGGCGCGCCGCGCGCCAGCACCAGGTAGGCGTCCTCGTGCGCGCGCTCGCAGGCGCCGCGGCCGGCCAGGCGCCAGCCGTGGCGACACAGGCAGTGCGCGCGCGCCGCGCCGCCGTCGTAGGCCGTGATGCACAGGTGCGCGCAGCCCCCGTTGCGCGCGGCGCACGGGTGCGCGCTGCGCGGCTGGCGCGCGCGGTGGAAGGCCAGCGCGGCGGTGGGGCGCGCGTCCAGCGGCAGGCTGCGCGCGCGCCCGCGGGCCGCCAGCAGGAGGCTGGAGTTCCTCCAGCTGGGCAGGTACAGCACGCCGCCCAGCGCCGCGATGTGCAGCAGCTCCTGACTCTGCACACACCGCACACTCCCGCCCTCTAGCCAACTTTATTTGTTTCACTTAACATACGTCTATTATTTATTACTAGCTTTTACCCGCGGCTTCGCTCGCGTCACAAAAGGAAAAAAGTAGCCTGTGACGTAATAACAATCAATACACACAGCGCCATCTATACCAACCTTTTGTTTTCCCTCGGGAATATCACATTTTTTCCGGAATAAAAAGTATATTTATATTTATAAGCATAAACTACTATTTAATCCGGACTTCTAACTTTACGTCTGCAAAAATTCAAAGCAATCGGTTTAGTAGTTACGGCGTGAAAGCGGAACAAACAAACAAACTCACTTTCCGATTTATAATATTAGTAAGGATTACATTGTATCGTCATCGCTCTCTGGTCGCCCTGTATTAGAAAGGGTATATCTAAAGCCCTGTGCTAGTATTTCAGTGGAGTAGCGAGTTTGTAACAGTTCTCTCTCCTTTCGATTTTGGGGCAGAAGCGAGAGAAGGCTACTAAATACTCGACTAAAATACAAACGTAGTGCGAACTAAACATAAGGGTACCCCGACATAACTCCCGCTTGCAAACATTATTGTCAGTACCCTCCCATAGTGTTGGCACTTATATTTTCACAGGAACTAAACATTTTAACACCAGTTTTAATATGTAGAGGTATAAATGAAGAATCTACAAGAAATATACTGAGCGCTAGGAAGGGAATTATATCGGGGTCACGTTGTTAGTAAATGTATGTATCTACTTAGAATTAAATTTTCTACCAAAAACTGTTCCATTTTCTGTTTTTGATTGTACAAGCAACTAAAACAACTTAAAACAGTGTTTTTTTGTAATTCATGGTGTTATGGAACCTCAGGTGTGTGTGTGTGTTTGTATCAAACTGTATTGTAATCATTTATTTGTAAGAGACTGTTTGTCTTGAATTAAGAAAAAACAAGCACTTGGTACAAATGAGCCGTGATTGTTAAAACGCCTTTTTATAGTGATTTGGTAATGTGGACAAGTACTGACAGCGTATCCGCGGCGCAGCGTGCGGCGGTGGGCTCCGCTGTAGTCGGCGCGCTCCACGCAGTCGAGGTAGGCGTCCGCCCAGTACAGCGTGCGCGCCGCCGGCTCCAGCGTCAGCGCCGACGGGTACACCAGCTTCAGCGCCGCCACGGGGGCGCGCTCCGCGCCCGCCAGCGAGGCGCGCTCCACGGCCGGGGGCGCGGCGCCCCACACCGTCCAGAACATGAGGCCGGCGGCGGGGTCGAGCGCGAAGCCGTGCACCTTGCCCAGCGCGCCCTCCACCAGCAGGCGGCAGTGGCGCAGGTCGCGCGTGCAGGCGTACAGCGCCTCGCGCGCGCCGTCCACCAGGTACCAGTTGCCGGCCACCCAGTCGGCGGCCAGGTGGCTGACGCCGGCCACGTCGGGGAACAGCGCGGGCCGCGGCAGCACGCGGCGGCGCGCCAGGTCGTCCGCGTCGGCGCACACGATGTCGGCCGCGCTCAGGTTGTGGTGCACGTAGCACACGCTCCTGTACACGCGCCGCTCTACTTACTTGCTACCCTTCGGTACCATGCGTGTACAAACACGACACGTGCATTGCGAATAGTGCGTACTTTTGACGAGAAATGCCTCTTCTAGAATTACATGGCGCGATGTTTTGATAATGTACTATGAGTTCGTATGCGCTTTCGTAGTTTGGTTTTTGTAATAGTTCATCAGTTATGTTTTGTTTGTGTTTTTTAACCGACTTCAAAAAAAGGAGGAGGTTCTCATTTCGACCGTATATATGTATGCTTTTTTTGTATGTTTGTTCGCCGATATCTCCGTTATGAATCGTATTTCGATAATTCTTTTTTTTTATTGGAAAGAGATAGTCCCAGAATGGTCCCATGATAAGGAAATCAGGCTCTGATGATGGAAGACCAGGGAAACCGAGGGGAACTTTTAAAAATTATAGGGGTGACTAGTGCATTTGTTAATTTTTTCATTAAGTATTAAAAACCACTACTATCTGATAAAGGTCTGGAGTCGATCTGATGATGGAGCCGAGAGCCAATCGAGGGAACTCCTCAACGGTTAACAGTAGCTAACGTGTGTTTGGGTTTGATTAATTTGTATTGATGAGGACTTTACACCTAGGTGCGGTGTAATTGTTAATAAGGGTCTGATAATGAAGTAGTACGGTAGTTGAGGGAATTCCTCAACGGTTACCAGTAGCTATGTTGTGTTTTGTCCAAAAGTTAATTTATTTTTCGTATGAAAAGAATATTTAAATATTCATATAAGACATTTTTAACATTATTTCTATAAAACCATTTTGTAAAATATTATTGCAGTTGCACTCGTTCCATCAAAAATATAACTAAATCGATTTAATCATTTCAAAATAACTGTCGAAAATCGAAACGAACCTAATTTTTTTAATCAGTTACAATAAATAGTACATTGAAGGGCAGGTAAGTGTTAGTTCAATAAATAATTATCATTTTATTTTTAATTTACAAGTACCTATACTCCGTCTGTTTAGGTAGTTAACTATTTGTAAACAAACCATAAAAAGAGTTCTTTATAGTTGACATTTCCATGATTCAAAATACTTCATAAGAAAATAAAATTGTTTCCCTTTTTACGACAGTTTTCTCTATTAACCTCTTATCTGCCGGCATGTGAGACACAATAGAAAACACATTGTGTCTCGCGTATACCTACGTTCCGGCATACCAGGGGTTAAATGTTATGTTTCTGTTCCTTTTCAAATCTTGTAAATATTATATATATCTGCTTGAGGATATTAATTTAATAACATTTATTAAATAATATAATATTTCATTACAATAGACACCATAAAGAGCCTAAAATCCCAGGTATCCAAAACCTTTCTTTAAGAACGAAGCAAAATAATGTTGTCAAATTAAAGAGTACAACGAAGATGTAGCGCGACAATGAAAGTAGCGTGTATTACGTTTAGTCGGTTAATCAGGCGCCATTGACAGCTCTCTCGTCGTTTGCGCTCGCGTTCTATTTTGTTGAATTTATCTTGTTTCTTTGTTTTGTTTTTGTTATTAAGTTATTTAAGTTTAGGTTATTCATCGTTTGTAATTAATGTGTTCAAATATATTGAAGAAACTTGGCCCAAAGACACATATCCGTACATCAGATTCAGAATAGTTTCTATTTAAACATGATAATGAAATAGACCCATAGGCTAGGCTCTTGTACGATTTAGGCATTTGTACTTGTATGTGTGTGTATGACAAATGAACGACTTTAAAGTGAATTTAGTTAAAATTAAAACACGAGAAATATTTGAAGTAATAGTAGGTTAAGTATCTCTGTGTCACGTGGTTTTCTTTGTTTACCGTTAGTTAATTACCTAAACAGATGGACTATAAGTTAGATTTTTTTGTTAATTTTTCCCCTTTATGAGACTCTTCGAGATATATTGAAAAATAAATTGGCAACACTGATAAAACATGGTGGCAATTCGTTACTTAACGATGGATAATTGTTCTGTTTAGTAATTTTAACCGTCATTTATAATATTTTAATGTGTATTTTTTTTTGTTTACTTCATTTTGTAGCGTGCATGCACGTAGTGACGCCTAGGTGACACGATTGGTACTACTTGACAACAAAGTGTATTGCAGTGAACAGTTCACTGCACATTTGTGACGCCTTCCGTGAACTGACACTCCATCTAGACATTATATAATCTAAGGATATCTGACATATTTTTGACAAGTGAGTTTTATGCCAATGGATCATTGACAATTTATTTTTTTACTATCACGATATAACATTAAGGTATATAATGTGACTAAATACTAAATTTTAAAATCCCCGTGGAATTGTTTATTTTTTTAAATCAGGAAAATAACGACATTTCACACTAAATAACAAATGAATTCTGATGTGATTTGTTACACAGCATTGGAATTAACCTTGGAGAACAGTAATAAAAAATCCAACATTTGCCAGAAGTCATTATTATACGCGAATAAAGTCGCGGGAAACAGGTAGTAAAATATAAGCGTATTAAAATCTTTTAATATTGTTCAGTGTAGAAATAATCTGTTTAAAAGATGCACTCGGCCAACGCCATACTACTATTTATTGTGTTGTCCCATAGCTCGATAGATGGCGTTGGCCGATTTAAATTCAAGCTATGGTTTCGTTACCGGCAAAACATTAGGTTGTCTGCTTTGACGTAAATAAATTGTCTTGCTCTGAGGTACTTCGTATTATTTCAAGTAATAGGCTCCAAAGGACTTTCGACCGGAACTGTTCATGGTCCAGTCGAGCCGAAGGGTGTTTATGGAAGAACACATACAATTAAATATAGTTGTGCTAATTGATACGAGATGGTGATAGTTGTCGGTTAACAATACCACATGTGGAAGACTACGTGCTCAGCTGCCGAGGACATACATCGGGAATCATCGTTGAACTTCGTAGTAGTGAAGTGAAGTGCATAATTGTGGACAAAGAACTGTGAGTACATTCAAATCATTAAAACTAGGGACTTAGAAAAATTCGCGTGCATTCGATCAGGGACTTAGAATAGTTTCGAGAAAAACGACCAGACGTCGAATCTATGCCCGATTTCGAAGCGATCTACAAAGTATTAAACACTTAGAAAAATTCTCTATAGTTTGGACTTGGAAAATTTGTCAATTGTCAACTGTCAGCGACACTTAGAGAATTTTCATCTATCTTTCACTGGACTTAGAATATTTTCATGAATACAAACAACATGGAGAAAGAACTAAGAAAGCTGAAAGATATCAAATTACAAATTGAAAAGGGCTGGATAAATTACAAGAAGTCCCCGAGAGATCGGATAAACTACAATTATGTCGATGCACGTTTAGAGATGTTAGAGACCCAATTCAAGAATTTTTCTGCGAAATATGAAGTCATCGTAGGTGATTGCGAAAGTGAAGAATTACAGGACTTTTTCCAGGAAGATATCTATGAGACGGTTTATGAGTGTTATTTAATGTACAAGGTAGAATTAAAAAATGTTTTGTCCCAATTAAAAGTTCACAGCTCAAGGAAGGAAGGTTGCGATGGTTCATCTGACAGCAGTGTGGTAAGATTGCCAAAAATAGTTTTACCTACTTTTAGCGGAAAATATACAGAGTGGTCGTCATTCCGTGATTTGTTCGTGTCATTAGTACACAACAATAAAAAACTTGATGATGTCCAACGTCTCCATTATTTAAAAACTCAACTGTCAGGTGAAGCGGAGCAGCTTATAAAACATGTACCTATAACTGATTTAAACTATAAAAAATGCTGGGAAATGTTAGAACATAGGTATAATAACAAGAGATTTGTATCCACATATATTTTAAATAGATTATTTGGCCAACGTAATATTGGAAATGAATCATCAAAGGCACTAAAAGATTTACTAGATGTGACCAGTGACTGTTTGCACGAACTTACTAATATTGGGATCGATGTTAGTTCATGGGATGTAATTATTATTTATGTTGCAAGCTTGAAGTTGGACGTAGAATCGAGGAAGCAGTGGGAACTGCATGTCACTAAATCATCCGACGATCTACCTTCCTTTAAACAGTTTTGCGAGTTTTTGGAAACACGTTTTCGTGCTCTCGAATGCGTTGAGCCTAAAAATAAATTAAAACTCGATCATCATCCTACATCTCACACTAAGGTCATGCACGGTACGACTAATATGTTATGTCCACACTGTTCGGAGAGTCACAAACTCTTAAATTGTAAGAAGTTTTGCCAACTAGATGTGGACGGACGTCGTGCCGTAACACAATCTTTGGGTGCCTGTTTTAATTGTTTGGGAAGTAATCATACTTCCAAATACTGCCGTGTTCTTTCGAAATGCCGTATTTGTCAGCGTAAACACCATACGCTGCTACATCCGAAGAACCATAGTGGAGCCATTGGGGTTACTGCGTCAGGGGAACCTATTCTCCCTGAACTTGGATGTACTTCAGAGCCAGTCCATGATGTCAAGGTAAGTATAGCATCTCATTTTGTGAATGAACAAACGCAGGGTCAGGTCTTGTTAGCCACGGCTTTGGTTAAAGCCGAATCACAAAATGGGTCCTCTCAGGTTTTGAGAGCTTTGTTGGATCAAGGATCACAAGCATCCTTTATAACTGAGTCAGCTGCGCAATTACTTCGTTTAAGGAGAGTGTCTCAAAGACTACTATTGCAGGTATAGGAGGTGAGCATAGCAAGATCGTTTCTAAACATGTAGTGAATATTGATATTCAATCGTTGCATGATTCCTCTTATACCATAAACGTAACTGCGCATGTACTACGTTCACTGACATCGGTTATGCCAGATAAGAATGTCAACCTTGACAATTGGCCAGAAATTCACAGCATACGTCTAGCCGACCCAAATTTCAGTCGTTCTAATAAAATTGATATTTTATTAGGGGGGGAAGTATACTGCCGTATTTTAAAGGAAGGTCTGATCAAGAGTCCTACAGGCTCTCCGGTCGCACAAGACACGCATTTAGGTTGGATTGTGTCAGGCTATGTCAGTAAGGCAGATAGCTCTCTAAATTCTCATAATACTATAATCACGATGTACACTCAAATAGAAGAGAATGATATGTTAAAACGTTTATGGGAGTTGGATTCCGAACCTGCTATAACGAAAAAGCTTCTCACGCCTGAAGAACAGGCCTGCGAAGAGTTTTACGCACAATCGACAGTTAGAGATGTCAATGGGAGATATGTCGTAAAATTACCTTTTCGTTCCGAAGATCCACTTTGTAAATACGGTAATTCTAAAAATATAGCTGTAAAAAGATTGCTAGGTTTAGAAAGGAAACTGGGTAGGGATGATGAATTAAAACAACAGTATGCTGATGTAATAAAAGAATATTTATTGCTCGGTCATATGGAGAAAATCGTTGATAAGGCTGAAATAAATAAAAATGATGCTGTTTATTTGCCTCATCACGCAGTGGTTAGACAGGATAAATTAACCACTAAGGTAAGAGTGGTTTATGACGCGTCATGTAAGGGAACGAACGGGGTTTCCTTAAATGACACCTTAATGGTAGGACCCACTCTTCAGGCAGATTTGCGACATATTGTCATGAGATGGCGTCAACATCCGATCTGTCTGGCTGCCGATATCGTCAAAATGTATCGCCAAATCAAGGTCGCTCGACCTGATACAGATTATCAAAGAATTGTTTGGAGAGAGAATCCAAACAAAGAGATCGAGGATTACCGACTTCTGACTGTCACCTTTGGTACGTCATGCGCTCCTTACTTAGCTGTAAAGTCGTTGCAGCAAGTTGCGTGCGATGAAGGCGAGAGGTATCCAATGGCTGCTGAAAGGGTGAAGTCAGACTTCTATATGGACGATCTGATGACTGGGTGTCAATCTGAAACAGAAGTAAAACTAATTTATGATGAAATGAATTGTCTATTAGAGAAAGCGGGGTTCCAATTGCAAAAGTGGACAAGCAATAGACCATCCATTTTGGAAACGTTGAAGGAAACTTCTGGTAGAGACCTTGAAATAAAAATGGATAGTATAACTAAGATTTTAGGACTTACCTGGAACCGGAACACTGATGAATTTGATTATTCTGTGAAGATGTCACCTCCTGCTGCACCTGAAACAAAAAGGACGGTTATATCAGAGATATCAAAGCTTTATGATCCGTTGGGTTGGATAGCACCGTGCATTATAACCTCGAAGGTTTCATACAAAAGCTATGGATTAGTGGAATCGGCTGGGATGATGAACTGCCACCAAATCTCTTACAAGAATGGACATATTATAGAGCAGAGTTAAAGAAACTGGTAAACTTTCACATTCCTAGATGGATACATAAAAGCGAAAAAGATATTACAATGGAGTTACATGGCTTTCGATGCGTCAAATATAGCTTATGCGGCTGTGGTGTATTGTCGCATTGTCGATGCTAATGGGCAAATACACTCGCACCTCATAACCGCAAAGACAAAGGTAGCTCCCATCAAGCAAATATCCATTCCACGGCTGGAGTTGTGCGGTTCTGTTTTAGTAGCAAAATTATTGATTGATGTAGCTCAAGTAATGAACATTCCTAAGGCAAATATACATGCTTGGACGGATTCATCAGTTGTTTTGGCCTGGTTAAATGATCATCCAAGTCGATGGAAAACTTACGTGGCTAATCGTACTTCTGAGATTCTTGGTTTGCTAGACAATTCACAGTGGGCTTATGTTAAATCTAAAGAAAATCCAGCAGATATAGCTTCCCGGGGAGTGTCTTCAGCATTTCTCCTTGGTGATGATCTTTGGAAACATGGACCTGGTTGGTTAAGGAATGCTCAGATAGACTTCACCCGGCCTAGTGCCATTCATACTAATGAGGAGTTAAAGCAAGTTAATGTTCACACTGCCAGCGTAGTGCCTGATTTTGAAGTCATTTGGGGATCTAAGTATTCATCACTTTCACGTTTGGTGAGAGTTGTTGCGTATTGTAAAAGATTTTTGCAATCATTAAAACTTCGTAAAGCGAATATTAAGGTTGCAAAATACCTGTCAGCTTCCGAAATTCACAAAGCGTTGAATGTATGTATCAAACAAAGCCAACAGCAATGGTTTCAGGCTGAATTGACAGCCCTGAAAAATAAGAGTCCATTGGAAAGGTCGAGTTCTTTATATAAGTTGAATGTATTTATCGACCAATGTGGGATATTGCGAGTTGGAGGAAGGCTACGGTATTCACCATTACTTGATGATACAAAGCACCCAGTTGTTATTCCTCATGATTCAAGTTTGGCTAAGTTAATTGTAGCCGACGCTCATGAAAGGACCTTTCATGGAGGACAGCAACTGGTACTTAATTTTATGCGCATCAAGTACTGGATCAGTCGGGTTAAAAATATTGTACGAGCTTATATACGTCGTTGTGTTCGCTGTATTCGATACTCGGCGACCACGAATCAACAGCTTATGGGAGAACTTCCGGTTTGCAGAGTGACTCCCAGTAAGCCGTTTCTGAACTCCGGTGTCGATTATGCAGGCCCTATTCACATTAGAGTCTCCAAAGGTCGGGGACAGTGGTCGTATAAGGGGTACATCTGTTTGTTCGTATGTATGGCTACGCGCGCAGTACACATAGAGGTTGTTTCAGATTTGACGACTGAGGGTTTCCTGGCAGCGTTCAAACGGTTCGTTTCTAGGCGCGGTCACTGTCGTCATATCTGGAGCGACAATGGTACAAATTTTGTGGGTGCTGCTAAAGAGTTGCAGATGCTTTTCAATCAACAGAGTTCGATGTACAAAGACATTGCAGCTGCTCTTGCAAACTCTCAAACAGAATGGCATTTTATCCCTCCTCACGCTCCAAATTTTGGTGGGTTGTGGGAAGCAGGGGTGAAAAGTGTAAAACACCACTTGAAGCGTGTGATAGGTGACTCCACTTTGACGTTCGAAGAACTGTCCACAGTACTTTCCCAAATCGAGGCATGCCTAAACTCTAGGCCCCTGTCTCAGGGTAGTAGTGATCCAGAGGATCCTGTGCCTCTGACTCCGGGTCATTTCTTGGTGGGTCATCCATTGGTAATGGTTCCTGACTACAACTATGAAAGTGTCACAGTTAGCACTTTACGCAGATGGCAATTAGTACAGCGTATGGTGCAGCACTTTTGGCGTAGATGGAAACAGGAGTATTTAACAAACTTTTTTCAAAGGCATAAGTGGAATGTTCGTAAACCTGACTGTAAAATAGGTGATGTAGTTTTAATAAAAGAAGATATCTTACCTCCAGCTAAATGGTTGTATGGCAGAATTGTTGAGCTGCATCCGGGTAGAGATAACTTGACGCGAGTTGTCACTGTTCGTTGTAAGGGCTCTATGATTAAACGTCCAATTTCAAAATTGTGTTTTCTTCCTGTTACTGAATAAGGCACAAAATCTTGTAGATTTAATTGTTTAAGTTGCGTATGTTTTTAGATAAGGTTTTATTATGTTATTTTCTTATACTGCACTGTTGAAATAACAATGTCTCTTACTCTTGTGCACTGTCATGTATTGATTACAATGTTTAGTTAGTAGTTTAGTTATATTGTTTTTGTCAGAATTTTGTCAACCTGATATTTTTGCCGGTATCAAGAATTTCGTCACCCAGATTAATGTTTTTGTACTTATATCTATTTATTTTGATTGAAACCATAACTGTCCGCGCCAATGTCTGCTAAAAGAAGCCGTCCACTAGATCTATCTCGATGTATTATTCGTAATATAGTAATATAATTGTTATACAGTCCACTGTTCTCCTAGTTGTTAAGTTTATGCATGGTGGGCGGTACGAAAAGGAATATATTCCTTTTGGTGGGCGGAATGTTCAGTGTAGAAATAATCTGTTTAAAAGATGCACTCGGCCAACGCCATACTACTATTTATTGTGTTGTCCCATAGCTCGATAGATGGCGTTGGCCGATTTAAATTCAAGCTATGGTTTCGTTACCGGCAAAACATTAGGTTGTCTGCTTTGACGTAAATAAATTGTCTTGCTCTGAGGTACTTGTATTATTTCAAGTAATAGGCTCCAAAGGACTTTCGGCCGATACTGTTCAAATATAATACTTTTTAAATTTGAATCACACGCAGAGCACGCACCGGTTGGAATAAAGGATGTCGATGGCGCGCACGTTGAGCGCGGGCAGGCGCGTGCGCGTGCGCGGCCACTGCGGCGCCTCGCGCGCCTCGTCGCCCGGCCACACGCGCCGCACGTCGCCCGCCGTCACCAGCACCAGCGACAGCGGCTCGCCCTCCGGCTCTGTACAGGACGCTGGCCTCGTCACTCGCTCCGCGCTCGGGCAGCGGCCGTCGCGGCACTCACCGTTGATGGGCACGCAGTCGCGGCCGTCGTCGTGCAGCCGGTACCCGGCCGCGCAGCTGCAGGCGTACGAGCCGACCGTGTTGCGGCAGAGCTGCGCGCACGCGTCGTCGCGCGCGCACTCGTCCGTGTCTGCAACACAAGCCTCGTACAGTGCCGCGCCGCGCCCCGCTCCGCGCCATCCGCCGCGCACTCACCGTGGCAGCGGCCGCCGGCGCCCGCCTCGTACCCGGCGCCGCAGTAGCAGGCCGGCCCGGCGTGCGTGGGTCGGCAGCCCACCTCGCACTGCAGCGCCGCGCACTGCGCCGCCGTGACTGCGCACAACGTAATGTCTTTACCACCACGGACACATTCCTGCCCGTGACACAACTTCCCGATCTCGCACGTTTAATATGCGTTTTTGTGATATTTTACTCTGGGGATGAGGACTTTTTACATTATGGGCAAAAAATAGGGACCTTGTTATTTACTTGTGATTTGAATGGAGTAATGCAACAATTACGGTTACAGATCACCAGAGATAGCAGGCGTACACCGGGCTACATACAATTGTCGCAAATATCCCACTCGTCGCTGGCGTCGGGGCAGTGGCGCTCGCCGTCGCAGAAATGTTGGATGGGCACGCACGTGAACTGGCCGTCTACCGGCGTCTCGCAGCGCGCGCTGTTGCCGGGACACTTGAAGTCTTTCTGACCTGCCACACACACGGCCAGAGTTGAGCAATGAGCGGTGAGCCACACAGTGCATCCCATACAGTACGTACACATGTAGGGGTCCTCGTCGGAAGCGTCGTGCGCGCCGCAGTCGGGCTCGCCGTCGCAGCGCCAGCTGGGCGCCAGGCAGAAGTTGCTGACGGCGCAGCGGAACTCGTCGCCCCGACACGCCGCGCTAGACGCTACACACACACATACACGTCTCACTGCTTCTTACATCTATCTGTTACTACTACTGCATTGCCATACAGAAGAACCTTATAACGGAGACGGACGCGGATGACATGTCCGACGGGTATCTGTTCTAACCGATTTCAAATAAAATGGTGGAGAAAGAAGTAAAAAGAATTCGTCTAGTTTCGGGATATTTGAAGTATGATGTGCAAAATAAAAGAAGTACTTAAATGAAAATATTACTCTCCTTGATATATCGGAGAGTCGGCGAGATTTTTTTCAGAGATTTGGTTCACATAATATGATTTTTTTATGAAATGATTTTTTTTCCCAAAATGGTTCCTTTAACTCAAAATTACTTTTTTGTTTGTGAGTTTAGTAATCTGTTGTATACCCCAAAGTGTATAATAAATATTATATTAAATGTAAATCTAAATACACCTTTGTTTGCAACAAATGGTGACAACAACCGTCACACTTAGGATGAAAGGTTTTCGGGTAAAAGGTAGCTAATGGCCTCCCAAATCCCTGAAAAAGTAGTGTCGGTCCATGGGCCGAAAACCCTGTACAAGTGCAAGTTTAGAACAATGCGTCATGGACGGAGTGAAGTGTGTGTGACGCACGGTTGGGACTGGAGCAGTGCAGCTCGTCGGAGCCGTCGGCGCAGTGCGCGCGGCCGTCGCAGCGCCACGCCGCCGGCACGCAGCGCAGCCCGTCCGCGCACCGGAACTGACGCGCCTCGCACGACACCGCGCTGCTCTCTGCGCATACGTACATAGAGGCTGTAAACGAAACGCTCCCGAAAAACGCCGACAGGTGGTTGTCAAAAACAAGTTACATTTTCATAAAAGTAAGGAAATAAATGTTTCTTCTATGTAATAATAGTTTTAATCAACCGCTCAAGGCTGATGTTGAGTGAATAACACGTAAACTAAAACGATTAAAATTGTTTAAAATATTTTTGAGACAGTTTTCGGGAGCGTTCCGTTTACACCGTTGATTTATTTAAAAGAATATCCAACAGAGAATACATTCGTACAGCTGAACGGTACATTCTAAGTGGTTCCCAAAGTTATCTGGACTACAACGCTTGTAATGTTCCGATATGGTGATAAATCACTTATTTATCGATTTCATTGGACCCTTGGGTACCAATCGAGAAGTCACCGATCAAAATTTGTCCCAGTTTATTTGCGATGCACTTCTGCAGATTCATTACAAGCATTTTCGTTAAAAAATAACGATTACGACACCTCGATGGATGCCGAAGAAAATCTCCTTTGTACTGTTCATCAGAAACAGTCACGAGCCGGAGGTTGTGTTCAAGTCCAAGTTCCTAAAGTATGTACCACAATCACATGAGCATTACACCTATAAAAGACTACTACTAATGGTGTGGAAAATATTTTTTTTATAATTATTCCCAAATGTTTATAAAAATTTATTTCGCGGTGCTCTGGCGCCAAAACTACTTATCTATACATACACATAAAACTGTAGAAATGTAAATTCTGTACGTTGAAAATATAAAAAAAATTATAAATAATGTTACTAGATAAACACCGAACGCATAAATGTGATTAAAAAAAATTGTCTGTCTGTCTGTCTGTATGGTCACGCATCAGGCAGAAACTACTGGTCCGGTTACGATGAAACTTCGTACGATTATACTTTAATATACGAGACACAATCCGCACAATTCTGGATACCTTTTATTCTGAAAAAGTGTATATACGAAAAAAACAAACTAAATTGTACGGCTCAAACCCTAGACACGGTTACAGTACCAAACGCAAATATAAGACTTTACGCCGTACGCTGTAGGCCCGATGGTCGAAATTAGCTTGAACCGATATTATAAATGTAAAAATATGTGCATTTGTGTATATGTTTATACTCTGTCACATCAAAACGGCTGAAGGGACCAGAATGAAATTTGAAACAGAGGTAGATTAAGATCTTTTTATAAGGGGAGCAAATCATCGAATGATTTTTTCCCGCCTTAGTGTCAGACTCTTACTGACTAAAAACCACCCCGTTCCTACTCTTGCACTTCCAGTCGGAGCCCCGGCAACCCGTTAAGTCCTTCGCGGCTCCGTATCGATCGGCATCAGCGCTGTTGGGCCCCATCCGTCCGTGGTGGTCTGATGGATTTTTGAAGCGCGCGGAACATGATGCTTACGGTGACCGCAATCCCCGACACCAGGAGTGTCCTACGCGACGGCTGGGTTATGAGTAGGCAGCGCTTCGCTGCCTCACGCGCCCCACCTCTTTCTTAGCTAGCATGACTGTTTTGCAAAAGGAGGAGACAGCATTTCAGTCCTCCTCGTTCCGAATCATGACCCGGACTAGAGCCGGACGCGAGAGGTCGCTGTCGCCGATTACATCACTGAGGCCACGGCGGTGCTCAGCCCACGCAGGACATGCCCCCACCGTGTGTTCCACCGTGTCCTCAGGGCGATCCTTGCAGTGATGACACCCGGGCATTTCCTCCTGCCTCATCAGACACAGGTACCTCCCGAAGCTCCCGTGTCCAGTGAGGACCTGGGTCAGGCGGTAGGTGAGGACGCTGGCACGTCTCCTAAGCTACTCCTCAAAGAGGGTACTTACCGCTGCAATGGCAGCGAGTCTAGCCCTCGGTTGCGACATTCGCAGCTGCAATTCCGCCATGAGATCGCGCCGGAGGTTTTCCCGGCACGCACGCACTATCTAGCGCGGCAGCTAGGAGTTTTACCCCTGGGAACGTGGGCGAAGCCGTTGGCAGAAGCTAGTACTACAAAAAACCCGTCCAGATATATATTGGAGAAAATTGTGAGTAGTTTAATGTAGTTCCTGCTCTGAATGCCTCGTTGGCCGAGTAGTCGCAAATGCGACTGCCGGGCAAGGGGTCTCGGGTTCGATTCCCAGTCCAAGCAAAGTATTACAGGGTTTTTAAATAAATCTCAGTAATAGCACGGAGTCTGGAAATGTGCCCGGTATATGGCAATAGGCTCACCCCTTATTATATGGGACTCATAACATAAATAGTAATAGAGAAAAAACATTGTACAGTGGCATAATTTGCACCTCTGCAAAACTTCCGGAAGTTTTTCCAGGTAACTCAAAAACTGCGATCTCGTAAGTTTTGGAAATTCCGCCCCCATTCCGCCACCATGGCGGGCGCAGGAGAAGATCGCGTCGTGATTCCTTAGCCTTAATTATCGGACTAAACATAAAATCACAAATATTTGCGATACCAAGCACAATGTCTACATTTCGTTAATACCACTAAGCAATGAAGCAAGTCGGCCAGTGTAATCAGTGACTCAACACCTACTACTTATTACATACATGCCACTGCTCATCTCATTTACTGAATGAGAAGTCCTAGATTAAAATTAGGTACGAAAATTTGTTATCTCGCGGCTAATTAAATAAAGACATTATTATCAATGAACGGACACTGGCAGCTCAGCTCACACAAACAACAAGAGGTGGGGTTATCATAGAGGGCGCACATCGCCACTTGCCACCGCTAGCCCCGGCATGACAAGGGTTACCAAACGTCCGGAACGAAATATTTTACAACTATTTGAGAAATATAAAACTCCGTCGTGAATTTCTAAAAGAACTACCTATTTAAAAACGATAAATATCCTTACAAAGCCTTCTTAATTCTTATACGAACATATTATACGTAAGAAAATATCTACAATTATTTCAAAAAAGAAGCGAAGCGACAATTTTTATATTGAGGTGAAAATAAGTTAGCTATATCGCATTAGACCTATGCGGGCGCTGGTATATCCAATTTTCCTCTACGCGGCAGAGACGTGGACAGTACGTGAATTGGAAAAGGGGAAGATCTCTAAGGATGTGGTGCTGGAGGAAGATGCTTGGTGTATCGTGGACTGAGGTCCGCACCAACGTATCCATACTCCGAGAACTCGGCATCACGAAGCGTCTATCAACCATAGTAGGTACAGACGCGCATACTGCAGTACTTTGGCCATGTCTCCCGTCGTGATAACAACTCCATAGCACGGCTGGTCGTTCAGGGGAAAGTAGAGGGAACCAGATCACAAGGCAGATCACCTAAACGCTGGACTGATCAAGTCAAATCGGTAACGGGAAACCCAGTGTCAGACTGCGCCAGACAATCCACAAACAGAGAGAGATGGCGGGAGATCGTGAGGAAAGCTGTATCGGCCTCCAACACAAATACGGCCGCCTCAACGTGACCACGACCGCTCTGCCAAGAGCTAAACGACACAGAAGAAGAGAAGATATCGCATTATCAAAGAATTTTATTTGCTTAGAAGTATTATAATTTCAAATTATCCTTACTAATATTATAAATCGGAAAGTGAGTTTGTTTGTTTGTTCCGCTTTCACGCCGTAACTACTTAACCGATTGCTTTGAATTTTTGCAGAAGTAAAGTTAGAAGTCCGGATTAAATAATAGGGTACTTTTATCCCGGAAAAATTGATATTCCCGAGGGAAAACAAAAGTATTAGTATAGATGGCGCTGTGTGTATTGGTATATGTCACATAGGCTACTTTTTATCCTTTTGTGACGCGAGCGACGCCGCGGGTAAAAGCTAGTATGTATATAATAGGTAAAGGATCAGATAAGTATTTTATCTGTATTGTTGTAACTTTCGTGAGACATACTAAATAAATTAAGTATTATGTTTTCGGCTTAATCACGTAATAATTTGACGAGGAACTCGACTAGTTTCAAGCCAAGCTAGAGGCTCATATTCATGAGCAGCATTTCGTGACCCGCGACGCGGCGACTGTCCGACTGTCGCGCTGCAACTTTTTACAAAGTCACATTTCGTGACCCGCGACGCGGCGACTGTCCGACTGTCGCGCTGCTACTTTTTACAAAGTCACATTTCGTGACCCGCGACGCGGCGACTGTCCGACTGTCGCGCTGCTACTTTTTACAAAGTCACATTTCGTGACCCGCGACGCGGCGACTGTCCGACTGTCGCGCTGCTACTTTTTACAAAGTCACATTTCGTGACCCGCGACGCGGCGACTGTCCGACTGTCGCGCTGCTACTTTTTACAAAGTCACATTTCGTGACCCGCGACGCGGCGACTGTCCGACGGTCGCGCTGCTACTTTTTACAAAGTCACATTTCGTGACCCGCGACGCGGCGACTGTCCGACGGTCGCGCTGCTACTTTTTAACCGACTTCAAAAAAAGGAGGAGGTTCTCAATTCGACTGTATATATGCTTTTTTTTATGTTTGTTCGCCGATATCTCCGTTGTTTATGAACCGATTTTGAAAATTCTTTTTTTGTTAGAAAGGAGATAGTTCCAGAATGGTCCCATGATAAGGAAATCAGGATCTGATGATGGAAGATCAGGGAAACCGAGGGGAACTTTTAAAAATTATAGGGGCGACTAGAGCACGAGTTAATTTTTTCATTAAGGATTAAAAACCACTATAATCTGATAAAGGTCTGGAGCCGATCTGATGATGGAGCCGAGAGCCAGTTGAGGTAACTCCTCAACGGTTAACAGTAGCTACCTTGTGTTTGGGTTTGATTAATTTGCATTGATGAGGACTTTACACCTGAGTGGGGTGTAATTGTCAATAAGGGTCTGATGATGAAGTAGTACGATAGTCGAGGGAACTCCTCAACGGTTAACAGTAGCTCCCTTGTGTTTGGGCTTGATTAATTTGTATTGATGAGGACTTTATACCTGAGTGGGGTGTAATTGTCAATAAGGGTCTGATGATGAAGTAGTACGATAGTCGAGGGA